CCCCGCGGCCTTGCGGCCCGCCCAGCGCCGCGGGCGCCGCAGCTCGTCGGGCGGGCCCCGGGGCAGGCTGTTGCTGAAGGGTGTCCGTGCTTCCCGCTGTCCTGTTTTTGAGGTGCCCTTTATGCCACTATGGATGTCGTTGTGGCCTTCTAGTGTTACGCTTCCAAAGAGGAGCGTGTGGGTCTTTGATAAACTGTGCTTACAAAGTGGCGTTTTAACAGCTGAAACTCTCAGCCTTTAGCGTTACTGTTCTCTTGCTCTTCTTCGGCTTTAAACCCAGAGTGTTTTGCTAAATCTTTTTGAGATGCCGAAGGAACTGTTTGGCTTACAGACTTCTGCTGAAGTCAGACTGTCCAGCTTTCCACGGAAAGCCATTAAAAATGTATTTTTTTTTCTCATTTAGGCTATTGAAGAGGAAGGAGGTGATCCAGATAATATTGAAATAAGTGTTTCAGCTGACACACCCACCAAGAAACCAACTAAAGGCAAAGGTTAGGATCTGTTGATACATTTGATATAAAGAAGGAATGTGCTCTATATTTTGGGTGCAGTTGTGACTTTACTGTTTATAGCTTCTGTCATATAAGAAGTCTTTTGCCTTGCATGTGTGTTGTCAGTCACTGTATGTGGACAGTGTATGGGCATGCTGGAGCAGTATATATTGACAGAAATCCAGCTGCATGGAAAATGTGTGTTCTGAGGCAGTGGCTGTAGTGCCCACAGCCCTGGTGAGCTGTGCTGAGTGCTGTAGATGAGCTGGGATGGGTTGGTGTGTGCTCAGGGATCCTGAACATGGGCTGTTACAGGTGCAGGATGGTGCAGGAGCTGCTGGGGCTCTGTGGGGTGTCAGTCCTGGGTCTGTGTGACAGCAGAGGTTCTGCAGCCATGGGCAGTGCTGCTCGTGGCTGGGGATGAGGGCACAGCAGTATGTGGTAGGGGTCACTCCCTGAAGAGGACTGTGTAGTGTGGGTGTGTTAGCATGCTCTCTATAGAAGGCAGGATTTATAAACATGAATTTTCTGAATTGGTGTTGAAACCTCACAGTGGAATGTCTAATTAAGAGATTTTAGTGTTTCTGTTAGGAGAAATTAATATTTAGATTTTGTGCTGATCTGTTTGGCAGTGTTTTTTCTCAGACTTTTCAGCTCTTTTTTTTCTGAGAATTTAAATACTGTTTTGTGAGTGTGGAGTCTGGGGGACTGTAGTTTGGGTTTGTGTTTTCAGTTGTTCTGGGAGCATCTGTGATCTGTTAGTACTGGGAAAGGACCTGTCTGCTTTATGCACAGCATTTTTCATTGAACAGACACACTCAGAATGTTCACACATGTGCTACAGGGGCCTGTTTTGAACCTGAACAGTCTTACAGCCCTGTCTCTTGTCATGGGCTGAGTTTTGTGGTCAAAGTGATTATTCAGTCAGTCTGGCGCTGTGTATGGTGAAATTAGTAAGAAAATCTGTCTGCTTAGAAAGTTTGAATAACTTTGCACTTTTCACACATTAGAGAAGTGAAAGGAAATAAACTTTCAAATGTGGTTTCATTTTTTTCTATGGCCTTACTTTATTCCCTGCTTTAGAAAGGTAGCTGCTGATTAAGATAATACAAGGAAACTCTTCCACAGTTTTTCATACAGAGATCTCAGTGGCTCCCTGTTCTGCTGTGACAAACACTTCTCTTATCTGCTGCTTTTTATCCTCCTAGTCTCCAAACTAATATCATGATATGCATAATGTTCTTGAACTGGTTTCTTGGGTAGTTAGACTATTTTGCTTCTGCTTTTTGTAGTTTGCCAGCCAGTGCTGCTGCTGCCCGAGGCAGGGCTTCAGTGGCTCTTCCTGCCACCCCTCCTGTGCCCCAGATCCTAATGCATGCATATGACATGTGTGTTCTTGGTAAGCCTCAAAGGAAAACAGTTTGTGAAGTTCTTATCAGTTCACTTTGCAAGCTCAGGAGTTTCTCCTCATTACCTTTTAGATTACAAAAGTCTTATGAACAAATTTTATGCCAAAAGTATGGGAAGTTCCTGGTGGAACATGAAAAATTTCACTGTTTAGTCTAGGGGGAAGTATTTTTTTATTGTATTGGTTTATTTCTAACTGTGTGAAATAATACACTGTTTGATTTTTAACTACTCACTGTGAGGTGTTTTTCCTCCTTACTGATTTTGCTGACAGATTGATCCAGGCCTTTTTGCTAATGCCTGTTTTCCCCTCACCCTACAGCTTCAGACTAATACTGATGGGTCTTTAATTATTTTACTGGTGGACAGCAGTAAAATTAATGACATTACTTGTTCTGTAGTATTTTTGCCTGTGCTGTTATTGCTGTACAAAGGAGAGTAGGAGTATGAGGTACTCATTTACAAGGAAAATACATCTTCAGGAAAGGCCAGGGAGTGGAAGTGATGATTAAACCTCCTCATAGCAGCCAGAAGGGGAGGCCAGTGGGAGGGAAGGAAGGAGCTTGTCCTTCCAAAAAGTCACAGAGTGTGTCTGGTGCCTACAGGGCTTGGACCTGAAAGTGTTCTGTAACCAGTTTTACTGGAGCTCTTAAGGTCTGTGGAAGAAGTGTGATTCTGATTCCCTGGCACTGTCTGTTACCACAGCCTGATCTCACATATTGATACAGGCTAAATTAGAATAGAAAAGCAGGGGAGGAATGATACATTTGTCTTTCCTTGCTTTTTCTGGGTGTATGTTTACTAAAAGGGAGGGCAGCACTCAAAAGATTGAGTGGGTCTTTATTTCATACAACTTAAAAATTGCTTGCAGAAGGATTCTGTAACCCAGCAAGAATCCTTGATCAATCCTCATGCAAAGTTAGGAGAAATTGAACACTTTCTCCAGATGCTACTTGAATTAAATAATTATGGTAAAGAACTGCAGAGCAGCTAATCAGAAGATTATACAGGTATATAGGTAAGATCAGTTGGTTTTGCCAATTAAAGTTTGAAAGGAACAAATGCCAAGTGTTCCTTTTTTAAGTGCCTCAGCTGTGCCTCTCCACCCTAGCATTTAAATGGTATCTATGGAGGAATTTCTCTTTTTATAAAAAGATGACAGTTTTTGGGAAAAGCTTATCTTTTCAAGCCTGACCATTCTGCTGCCTAGTCTGGTATCTAGAGGAAGTTACCTTACTACAAGTATGAAATATTTTTCAGATGTTTCTGATATGAATGCTCCTTTGAAGGATCTACAGTCAAAAATGTTGTTGAATATTGAAATATTAAAGTTGGTCATTGAAAGTTAAGTTACTTTCCTGATGAGTTCTGGAATTAGTGTGGGTGAAGAACAGATTTTAGGCTGATAATATTTAACTTTGGAGAATTAATGTGAGCAAAGATATTTATATGCTGCCCTACAAGCTTCTGAGGCCAGTTATGTACCTGTTAGTTTGTCTTAAGTACCTCTCTAGTTTGCAACTGAATTTCCAGTTTGTCAATACTGTTTCTGGATCAATAGCTGACAACTGTCAGTGGCTGGCTTGTACTATTGCCCAAATAACTTTGACTTCTTTATTAAAACTGTTTAGTTACTTAAATATAAGAACAAAACAAAGTAAGTTGTACGCTTGGTTTTTGCAGACATTTCTTTCTAAAAACAATGAATGACTAAGAACTGTATTTTTTAGACACAGCAAAAGACTTTAAATATTCCTGTACCTCATGGTACCATTTCAGAATTAGGAAAGGATTGTTTACTTTTGTTAATATTGTGGCAAATGATACTTTTCAAGTTGCACTGGACCTCTTAATGCTATAGAGGGTTTATTCCATTGTAAGGATTTATCTCCTCTTTCCCTCTTATTCCATGTTTTTGATGAATCTTCAGCATTAGATGTGACAGAACCCTGTTGGGAGTGTCAGCAGGAATACCAGAAGAAATGCAAACACTAATTCTTCTGAATTTTTCTGATAAGTATGTGTCACTCTGCTTCTACCTGAGATGCAAATATCTAGTTGTCCAGAATACAGTCTTCTATTATTTTGTAAACACCCAGCCTGAATTTCTCACATGGAGGACCATGAATAGGTAGAATAATCTTGTGCTACTGTAAGACTTGTAAATGAAATGAATGCTAAACCTGCATAATGTAAAACCAACAAAGATGTTCTAATTCTTCTGCTTACTTATAAGGAGAAGATTTGTTCTCTGTGTAATAGTCTGTTGCAATTTTATGGTGTGTAGCAATTGCTGTTGCCAGAAAAGGGATTGAGCATGGCTTGTAGAGGAGTGCCATCACTCCAAGGTAAATGAGTGTTTGTGTTGTTAAGCACCCAGATCTGTGGTGAATGCTGCATACACACTGACATTTTCAACAGCCACTGCTTGGATAAACCTGTACAGAAACTTGGGTGTTGACAGCTTGTGTGACTGGGGACCAGCTGTGCCTCTTGTCTGCAGAAGGTTCAGCTGCTCTGGCTCTGTTTGTTAACTTACCCTTCAGTCAGGTCAGCACTGGTCTCCACTAAGTTCAGAGCAACAGTTGTTTTCTGTAAGGTGTGTGTTGCAATCTGATTTTGGTCATGTGAATTTAAGAGCCAAGTGTGCCTTTAAGCAGCCCACTGTAAATGAGTGTCAGTCAGACAGCTGTTGAATTTTTTGTGCATGCTGGCTTTTTGGCAAGTTACTGTACCAACATCTGAAAACTAACTGTATCAGAACCTTGAAATGCCACTTTGGAGTGGCACAGTGTAACTCTAACCAGAGCAAAGTAACCTGAGGCACAGAACTTGAGAGGGAGAGCAAACTTATACCACTTTCTGGCTTGAAGTTGAAAAGTGAAGGTCATTGTTCAGGTCTTGGAATACCTCTGGTACTCAGAGTAAATGGGGCTTGCTACAAAGACAACAGACACAGTATAGAAGGGCTAATGAAGTCATTACTTAATCTAGTAGCAAATAAAAGAGAAAACAGCTTCATTACTGAATGCTGTAACTTGTTCTTGATGAGGACCAGTCAATAAAACACAGTTCTCTAGCTGCTGTTGCATAATGATGGGGCTAACTTGAGGTAGCTTTGCCATTGGTTTGGTTTTCATTTCTGTTCCCTGTAAAGTCTTGGTTCTATTCCACCAGCCATAGCTGCTCAGGCAAAATTATTTAAATTATTAAATGATTTGAATAGCTTTCATGATAGTCTATGCTCGAGTTGCTAAAAGGGTTGGGCATCTGCCCTGTGTGCTTGCCTGTCTCTGTGTTTGCTTAGCTGGACATGGGATGCAGGAAAAACTTGGTTGTTCAGGTTTAACAGACAAACTGAAATGTGAGAGAGTAAAACAGAAAGCAGGGGAATGTGTGTAGAAATCCTTGCTGTTTCTTATTGCTTTTTATTTATGTTGATATCTGCAGAGATCTGTAGATTCTATCACAGAACACTAAAAAGCTAGCACAAATTTGAGTCAGTCTTTGTTTCAGGCATCAGAAACTGTCCTTTCCAGTGTAAGACTTCTTCCTGAGAAGAGCTGGCTTCCCTTAGCATACCTGTGCAGGGGCTTTTTGCACCAAAAACTCACAAATCTATTGCATTACAAGGATAAACCAGGGCTTTCTGTGGGTTTTGGGGTTTTTTGTTCATTTTTTTAAGTGAAGTAAGATCAGTGACACTGAAATTAGATTTGAAAGTTCAAACCTCATGTTTTGCTGTCACAGAAATAGGTTCTGCCATGTGCCTTTTCCTGGAGATCAGTGTGTGCCTGCACTGAAACCAGCAATGTGCTTTTTCTAGGGGTATGGTCAGAGTGCTGCCTTTCAGGGAAGTGAGTAAAAGCAAGTGGAATCCAGGCAAACCAAAGCAATAGTGTTGCTTCTTGCCCTGTAGTTGATTACTTTCCAGCTTTGAAGTGCATTTAAGAGCTGCATATGAAAGACCATGGAAATTAATGGCTGAAAAAATTGAGCTAGCAGAGGTGTCCATACTGTGTTGAATTTTGGCTTATGGTTTTCTTTTATATTCCTTTGGAATAATTATAAAATTGGTTTAGCCATTCATTAGAGGTTGAAGGGAGGAGGGAAGATTCTATGCCAAAAAATGAAGCATTAAGTGTTAATTATGACTGCCATCTCATTTGCATTTGAATTGACACTGAGTTTCAGTAGAAGATACAGTAAAGACACTTCCTAACAGAGCTGCTTTTGTACCTTGTGCTACTGAAAACTGTTGCATAGGCTAATCTTTGATAGACTGAATCAAAGAGACAGAATGTTCTTCAGAGGGTGTGTTTGTGTGGAGAGGTTTCTGTCTAGTGTTCTTAGGTCTTGTTTTTCAGGAGAGTAAGGAAATGCAGTGGGTTCCAAAGGGAACTGTGTCTAGTCATCATCCCCACAGAGACATCTCTAATAGAGAAAAGTGTGCCTGTGCTGGAAGAGCAGCATTCCTCACTGGAACAGGCCCTTAATACAGTACAGCATTTGTAGAAAGCAGAAGTGCTGCACCTACTCAATTCTTCTGCCTCACTTCATCCTCTAGTGAAAAGCACTGAAAAAGGTGGTTTGGAGAGGCTTGGAATTGCCATGCTTGTGGATATTCAAAGATGCAGCTAAATAAAGCCCTGAGACATTCTATTGTCCTTGGAATTTCACTGTAATTTTCAGCAGGCAATTGGGTGGACTAGATGACCTTTAGAGGTTTGTTCTAACCTAATTTCTCAGTGATGTTAGTTATCCTCTAAAGCAAGACCTCTCCAAAGTCATAATGTCTAGTTAACCTCAGGAATTCTGGAAAATGTTTAGTTTCTAGTTCAATGTTCTCCTGGATTCCATTATCACTCAAAATAGAAGAATAAGCATTAAGATCACTAACTTGGATGTAACCACTTGTTTATTGAGCAGCATTGATTGTTCATTCTCACTCAGCTGACATTTTATCTCTTTATCTTAAAAATGACTCTGTTTTTGGAGGGCTATATTATATATATTATATATTCACTATATATTTTATATATGTGTATATATTACATGTATTATGTATATTCACTATATTATATGCTATAGTGAACAATCCAGCTAAACTAGAACAAGTAGAGAATAATAAAGTAAGGCCAAACACATAATCAGTATTAAAAGTGTGCTCTACATAGCAGGTCTAGCCACAGCATATCCCATCATTTCAGGTAAAAAGCAGGAAGCTGATGAATTGGCTGGTGATGCTTCAGTAGAAGAGGACTCCTTTGTCAAGGTAATAAAAGTATGTAAAAACTTTTCCATTTTTGTATTTAACATCAGTGTTTGACTTCAGTTAATGAAAAAGCTTCCATTTTCTTTGTGTTAATTTATGTGGAAATTTGAAGCATTGTTTTTATTGTATTCACAGTGTGATGCCTAAGGGTATGAAGCTGGGGGGTTTTTAAAACATGGTATGAAATTTATTATGCATGTAAGACACTTATCCAGCAGAGAAACACTGATTCTAGCTGTGATTATTTCAGAATAAAGCTAATACTTGTAGTTATATCAAGTATTTGTGTTCACACCAAAAGGAAAGTGAATTGGAGACTCAAGATGCAAGTGATCAAGATGGAAATGATGAATTGAAAGACTTCAAAGAATCTGTTGAAGATGAGAACTTGAATTCTAAAGAACTACCATCTGCAGAAAAGAAAAGATACCATGACCTGGAGCCAGTGGAGACAACAGAAGATGTGGAGAAGGATTCTGAAAATCAGGTACTTGGCTATATTTTACATGAATTTTTATTAGCAAAATATACATTTTTCTTAGTGTTTGTTATTGGGAAGTCAGAACTAGTTTTTCAGTTTGTCTTGCTTATCTCTAAAATACAGGGTTTTTTCTTTTTACTCTACTCTTTTGGTTCTGTTTGCCTTGATTTGTATTTGAATAGTCCTGAAACAAATGTGGCACTGATAAAATTCTAGCAGAGTCCATAGAGAGTTAGTTCCTGAGTGGTCCCCTGTACTAGCAGGGACTTGTGCCTTTCAGTTCAGTGTTCAGATTCTTTACATCAGGAGAACTGCTCTTGGATGTTCACATTGTTGAGTGTGTATCCACTTAAATGTTTACTGATCTAATGGAATCTCTTGACCCTCTGAATGTTTGAGTGTCTTCTAAATAGTTTGTTTATCTTGTCCCTTTTCTATTTCCATAGGAAAATGAAGGTCCAGACATAGAAGATTACACTTTTCCAGCTGTCCATGTGAGTTCTAAATGCATTCTGTTAAGCTGATTTTTGTGTCTGTGTAGTTGGAGAAGATCACTTTAGATTGGTTTTTCTGTTCCAGCATGCATGTTAGAGTCAGATGATGTAAGGCTATAAAGGTAAACTATATGGGGAGCTTTCAATCAAATATTTAGTAATGCAGAGAATTGTGATGCCAAGTAAGTCGACCTATTTAAAGACATAAGTCATATCTACAATTTAGGAGTATTCAGTGCATAGACTTCACAAGGAATATGTCTCACACTCCCTTAAAAACATCAGAGGGCTATGCCAGATGCTGTTGCAGTCTGTACAGCCTGTACAGGAGTTTAGAACTTCTGTTTAATGTAGAAGTTTGCCCTTGCAGAATGTGGGGAGTGTGGAATGGGGCAGGGTTGTTTAAGGATGCTTTTTGGTGTTAATACTAATATCTGATCTCTAAGTTCAGAAATTCATTCTGAGTTACATGGGACTGATGTCTGGAAAGTGACATCTCACATGGCATCTCTTTCTCTGTAAAACTAATGAGAAATAAGTAAATACATATCGAAATCAGAGTTTCATTTTTAAGTAGTTACTGGAGGGAGGCTGCCTAGTTTGTGACTTCTCTCTTGAGCTTTTAAAGCTAGTGATGGACTGCTTGCATTTCTCTGAAAGCAGTAATCAGCAGCTTGACATCCATTCTGAAGGCTTTGGTAAGACGTGGAATAGTTTAGAAATGTCCCATTGAGTTGAGGGGGTATGACAATGTCTGCATGTCCCAATCAGCTGCAAACTGCAAGTGCAAAGTTGTTTCATAAAGAAGTTTCATAACATTTTTTAGTGATTTGACAAGGGAGGTGCACGAGTTTGGTTCCTGGATAATCTTTGGAAACAGTTTTTATGTCAGCATTTGCCTTCATACAATAGAAATTTTATGAAAAATTCAAACTGTTCTGCTTAAACTTTCAAAATAGGAGACATTTAGTGTTGACTTCCTTTTCTTGCAGGATGGGGAAGATGAAGAAAATGAGAAAGGTATGTCTAAAGTTTAATAGAGTTCAGAGGTCTTACTCTGGTAGAGCAGGCAACTTTCTCTTGTAACATTCAATCTCTACTAATACTAGGCTTATCTCCAGCACTAAGTATCAGTTGTCTCCTCACTGAGCTCAGCACCTGGAATCACTGCAGTCAGTTTATTTCACTCCTAAGAGTTACTTTACTCTTAAGAGTTGATTACAGTACTTATCAGTTACTGTGGTGGATGTATAATGTAGTTGCAATACTATGATTCTTAATAAAACCCATAGTATTCAAGGACTGATTTTAATACACGGTAAGTGTTGATGCCAAAGCCTCCAACTTGCACTGCAGTAACTGATGTTGAGTGAAATGCTGCACTCTCACACTGAAGTTGAGCACCCCACAAATGTATGGACCATCATATGCTTGGCTTACTGTCACTTAGGAATACCAGTTGTACATAGGATGGTAAAACAGGTGTTTGAAAACCTGTGGAGTGGCTACCATTTTTTAAGCTGTGCTCATTAGTGAAACTCTAGAAGGAATGTAATGCATTTGGGCAAACAGACTTCCTGGACAGAAGTCACAAGGATTCTACATTTTGTGGACTCGAAAGGACATGGAACACCATCACTTTACACAAGATGGAATGAACACATTACTGAAGCTACAGGATTACACTACAGACTCCGTGTTTACGAGGGACCCATGGCCGAAGTGTCTCATCTGTGCACATCCAAGAATACAGATGCCTGGAGATGTCTCTGTGGGACTGAGATGGAAAACCTGCCCAGTGGATGAAGATTGAGACCATTTGTCTACGAACTCTGGATTAAGGCTCACCCATCCATGTTCTGCAGCAGCCTTGTACTCACTTGACTGCCAAGCAACTGCTTGGAGAGGAAGAGAACAGCGAACACCAATGTGGAAGATGGCTGAATTCTCCAAGACTGTAATGCTTTCGGATTTGGGAAGGTTGGAAGTTCTGGAACCAGGAAGATTCAAAGACAGATTAATCAAACTGTGAACATCCAAAGCAACTGTTCTTCTGGAATGCTAAACCCTAAACTGGAAAATGGATACTTCTTATGAAGAACGGGTATCTCCAGGATGGAACCATATTCTCCCTCCTAATGTTTTGGTATTTGTCTCTAGAAAATGTGTTTTGCCATGAAGAATAAGTGATCCTGGGTAAAGGATTTATATTTGTGTTAATACACCTTGTGTTTTTTTCTAACCTTCCATCAGTGCTAATAACTGGCTTTGTATTTTCTAGGTCCTATTCTAGCTTATGCATATGAAATTGTTTAAACTTCTTGTTTTGCCATATTTATTCCTGTTAAATCCTCTTAGATAAAGCAGGTTCTGGTGATGGTACACAAGAAGTATCTAAACCTCTTCCTTCAGAAGAAAGCCTAGCTGAGGCTGATCACACGGCTCATGAAGAGATGGAAGCTAACACCTCTGTGAAAGAAGCTGAGGATGATAACATATCGGTTACAATCCAGGCCGAAGATGCCATCACTCTGGATTTTGATGGTGATGACCTCCTAGAAACAGGTAAAAATGTGAAAATTACAGATTCTGAAGCAAGTAAGCCAAAGGATGTGCAGGATACCATTTCACAGAGCCTGGAGAAGGAAAGCAAGGACTATGAGGTGACTGAGAACCATAAAGATGGTAAGAAGGAAGACTGCGTGAAGGGTGATCCCGTCAAGAAGGAAGCCAGAGAAGGTTCAAAGAAAGCAGAATCTGGAGACAAAGAAAAGGATACTTTGAAGAAAGGTCCCTCGTCTACTGGGGCCTCTGGTCAAGCAAAGAGGTTTGTTTTTCTATGTCAGTTCTTTACGATACTGAGTACCAGCATTCAATAAGATCACTCTACATTAAGGGGGTAGCAGCAAGAATCTTATAATTAGTATCCTATGCTCCTGCCTGTAGGTTTTTTGACCGCCATAAGTTACTTTTTAAAATTCAAGATCTTCGTATAGACACTATGTCCTACTGATTGCATTGTCGAATTGTCAGCATTTATTTATTTTTTTCAAATTGACGATTTTTTTAAATGTCCTTGTGATGATGGTAATGAACAGCTATCAGTTCTAAGAACACAAAATGAAGTCAAGTCCCCGTCCTGAAATCTGGAGAAGATTGCCATATATCCACTGAATAGAGTTGTCAGAAAATCTAGATCTTCAGGCATCTTGGGGAAAATCAGTGCAAGAATCCATAAGGGAATCATTTGTTCAAATATACAGTCTGGCCCTTTTTCATTTTTATTTTTTGAAATGTTAACTTGTCTGTTAGTGTTAGTAGTATAAAATGCAACACCAAATTCTGTAGTTTCAACTTTCTTCTGATTTTTTTAATTTGCTTCTCTAGCTCTACTAAGGAATCTAAAGAAAGCAAGACAACATCAAAGGATGATAAAGGTAACTATTATGAATTAGAGTAGTATTTCATGAACTAAATGCTTTCCTGATTGACAAATTGCTTGCCACGTAATAAAATGGTTTATATGACTGAGCTCAGCCATCTCTAGTAAATTATGCTAGAGGTACAGTAGTCATTTGCTATATGTATGTGTCCATATATTTTGTTTCTCCTTATGCCAGGTTTGTCATAAGATCAAAAACACTTTTTCTAAAGACTTGATGAAAATATATTCTTCTGTTGCAAAATACTTTTGGAAGCAAATTCATTTAACATTTCCCAAGTCTTTGTTTGGATGAGAAGCTATAATTTTCAGATAAGTCTGCTGTAACTTACAGCAAAACAAGCAAAAAATAATTGCAAGTACTTAAATGTAATGTCAATTAAATTTTTTGTCTTGTTTGTAATTCTAACTCATTTTTAAATAAACTGAATTCTCAAACAAATACTGTAGCTGAGATGCCAGCTTGCAGAATTGCACTTGTGGCTGTTTAATGTATTAAATTTGAACCTATTTTTTTGCCTTGGAGTTTCCATCTGTTTCCATAAAAGCCTGTATTAAGATTACAAATTTGAAGAGTGGAGCTCAAGAGCACATTCATGTCACCAGTTCTACTGATGCTTCATGGTTGAACAGATGCGTTTGTGTGAGCTCATGTGTCTCCTTATTTTACCTACTCCCTTTCTGCCAAAATCTTTGTCACAGAATCTCTGGCATAACACTAAGGAACAAATGAAACTTTACCTGATCAATGAATTTGAGAGGAAATTTTTGTGGCAGACATAATTGTGTCTTTTCATGACAGTTACATGCTTACAAAGAAACTGAAAGCAGATTTGCTGTGTCTTCATTTATGTAGCGTATGTGATAACTGTGATAGTCTCTGTTTAAGGCTTGCTTAGTACACACAGCCAAAGCCAGGATAGTGGCTGATTAATGGTACTTATTGGTGGTCCAAGTGTATGACATAACCATAGAGTATTATGGGTTGGAAGGGACCTTAAAGATCATCTCATTCCAATGCCTTGCTGTGGGCAGGGACACCTTCCACTGTCCCAGGTTGCTCCAAGCCTTGTCCAGCCTGGCCTTGGACACTTCCAGGGATGGGGCAGCCACAGCTTCTCTGGGCAGCCCATGCCAGGGCCCACAGGGAAGAATTTCTTTGTTATATATCTAACTAATATCAAGATAACCTTAGTATGTTAATCTTGATGCATTGAAGAAACAAAGCTATCTTTTTTTTATCAAGATGGTTAAATTACCTTTTAAAACTCTGCATATCACCAGATTTTCCAGCTGTCAAGATGGAGACTAGTTCTGGTCTTGCCTGTAGGACTGGCTGCATTTTAACATATCCCAAAGCAGTTCATTTATTTAGCAGCAAACAACAACAGGCTGAACTACATAACTGAAGACTGAAAGATACTGGGAATGAGATTACATGAATCTCTTTTGCTGTGTTGTTGCAAAAATACCTAATATATGGGGTGAGGGGAGTATTTAAGGCACATAATGTTTTTCCAGCTTTTATTTAGTATTTTCTTTAGTATGTGGGAAATAATTTTGGTGGGTTTTATCTAGTTCTACATCCAGTAGTATTTTATAAAAACTGCTCTGGATAAAGCTGATACTTCAAGAAGTTGTTGAAATTGATGACATGATTCTGGAGGCTGGGATTATCCAAGTCTCCTGTATTTGCCTTTCTGCTGTCTCTGGTAACTTGAGCAGTGTACAGACATCATGATGGAGAACAAATAAAATTAAAAAAAAAAATAACAAAAAACACCCAAAACATTTTTGTGGATGGTAGCTAATGATAAGAGCTAGATGTCAAAGCTAAATGTACCTACCCAAATGAGGAGTAAAGCATGCCTTTAACAAAGATTTGTATTATTTTTCTGTCTCTGACCTTTGGGTACAAGCTAGCCAAGCTGTTGGTGTTAAATGAATGAATTCTTGTTAAATGAATGAAATCTTATGGCATATATTTTTTTTCTATAGAAGTCTTTTCAAGAAAGGTAACCAGATAAACTATTACTTAGAGGTAACAGGCTAAGTTTCTTTTCAGCAACACTTCAGTTAAATATTCATGGTACCTTTGTCTCCTTAATTTTTTGGCTGTTTTGTAAAACTTGTTTCAGGAAGCACGAGCAGTGTTAGTGGTAGCAGTGGAAGTTCAACTAGAAACCTCTGGGTTAGCGGACTGTCTTCCAACACAAAAGCTGCTGACTTGAAAAATCTCTTTGGCAAATATGGAAAGGTATTTTATGGGGTGTGATACCATGTGTGTGGTGTGTGTCTATTCCCCCTCCTTTATTCAGTTACAGAAATAAATACTTGATTTAAATAAAGGTATAGAGGAAGTATCTGACCAGTGCAATCTAAAACCCCATATTGCAGCAGTAAGAGTGTATGCTTACAGGAAGAATTATATGTTCATTTTATAAGAGGTTTTTCTTCCTGTGGAGGTAAGATAAGTACAAAATAAATTTCACAAATATTTTGAATACTCTGGTCAGGACTGGATTTTAAACTAGTGATGGTTTTGTTCCTTTGTAGCAACTGTATTTAACCATGAGTGCGAGATAGTGTACTAACTGATAAAATTGTAAGACAAATAGTGTTTAAAGAACATCCTGCTTTGGGAGACTGTTTTTAAAATGTGTTCTGAAGGCTTATGAATGGGAAGAATTGGTAAAAAGATGTGACATTTAATGTGTGATCCTTTGGGGACTCTTTCAATGATGTAATGGTTTTATTTTTTAGTCTGCTTAAATTAAGTCTGTTTTCCCAATTTTGGTTAATTGAAACATACAAATTCCATAGAACAATGTGGAAATCTTGAAAGCTGAGTAGTCTTCTAAACCCAGGGTTCTCATTTTCTCAAAGGAGTTGCTGATAATTATGTGAATTTGTAGTGTGTGTGTAGGCCTGTGCAGGTGTGGTGTTATTGTATCTTGGGAACGAGTTAGAACCTGAGCCCTGTGACTGTCAAGTGTGTGTGCTGATTATGGCATATCTGATGTTTCCAATGAATTTAGTAGGTGATTTTATTTTATGCATCCACAAGTGTGGACACCTGGGAGTATATTTTGTTGAAACTTCCAGTTAGTTACTTGGCTGTTTTCACTGTAAAGCTGGTTGGTACTTAGATTTATGTAGCTTCCCAGTTTTAAAATTGATTGGGAAATATTTCATGACTGTCTAGACAGCTAAAAAGATAAAATTGATTACAGCTAGAAAGATAAAATTGTGGCCTTTAGGGCATGACTATGGCAAAAAGACTAGCTCCAGTGGCCATAGAAATTCTAGCAAGGAGGAGGAGGAGCATGAAGGTTAATACCTTCTGAAGAAGCAGATGTCAGAGCTGACTGCTAAAATGGCTTAGCTGACACACTTGCTGGATGACTTTAAAGAATTGGCTCCCTTATTAAGTTACTACATAATACTGTTTATACCTTCCTGCCATTAATTGGCAGCTGCTGTTTTTTTGTGGGGGTTCATCTGTCAGAGATGAACTAATCAAATTCAGGACAGTTGTGTTTCTGTGAATGAATTTTGACAATAACTGAGGAGAAGCATTTTGATAATGGACATGAAGAGGTGACTGGTCAAAACAGGATGCAAGCATTAATATGCCTTGATGTGCAAGTTGGGATAAAGTTCTCCAAGCTTTTGAGAATTTGGGAGTGTCAGTCAATCTTTCTAGCAGGGTGGGAGTTACATTGCTGGTGAATTGGAGGGGTTGGGGTGAATTTGTTTTGTTTTCTTATATACTAGGGTAAAAATCTTACTGGAATACATAACTTCCTTAGAAATGTCTCTCTCAGAACCTGAATTCTTTCTGTTTGCATAGGTACTTGGTGCAAAGGTGGTCACAAATGCACGAAGCCCGGGGGCAAAGTGCTACGGCATAGTGACCATGTCCTCTAGCACAGAAGTGGCCAGGTGCATCGCACACCTGCACCGCACAGAGCTGCACGGACAGCAGATCTCTGTGGAGAAAGTAGGTTTCAGAACATGAAGACTTTTCCCAAAATAGACCATCTTTTATAAGAATCTGTATTAACCTATTTGCTTTTGAAAAAAAAAAAAATAGGTGAAAGGTGATCCCTCCAAAAAAGAATTGAAGAAGGAAAGTGATGAGAAATCTAGTTCGGGTAGGAGCATAGGAGATAAGAAGACTGCATCAAGTGACAAAGCCAGCAAGTAAGGAATTTTACATCTTCTGAAATTGTGAAAATCCTCTAAGCTGAATTTTCCCTCATTGGATTTTTGTGTTCTTTTTCCTAATAAGAACTCCATCAACCAAAAAAGAAGAAAAGAAATCAGAGAAATCTGAAAAAAAAGAAAGTAAAGAAACCAAGAAAACAGAAGGTAAAGATGAGAAGAGTGATAATGGAACAAGTGGCCCTAATCAAGAATCCACTAAAAAAACTGAAGAAAAGAAAAGAATAAGTATGCCATATAGCCTGTTTCCTCCTGTTGAATCTGTGTGTCTGACTTGTCTTGGGGGCATGTTCTTGCTCTTACTGGAAACCAGACAATTAAACAGCTGTTCTTTTTTAGACTCCAGTAACACATTTATTACTTCCATACTTTATACTAATATTTAATTACAGGCATGTGCTGGTATGCCTCTCCTACCAGTACCAGTTTACGTCAGAGATTTAGAAATTTCACTAAGGAGAATTTTTTAATAGGGAAATGGAGATAGCTGTGTGTGTGTGTTTTTAAACGTTCTTTTATTTTTTTTTTGTTTCCCCCCTTCACTAGGTGGTAAAAGCCCAGGTCAAGTTGTAGTTTTAGACCAAACAAAAGGAGACCAAGGCCACACTAGGACAGTTAGAAGGGGAAGGTTTGATAAAGTAAGTATCTATAGATTTGATGAATCCTTACCTGATTTGATCCTACCTTGCAGTTGATATTTGCACTGAAGAGTCAATAAACTATCAGTAATTGTTAAGCTTAGATAGAAGCTTTGTATGCTTTGGGATTGCTAAGTCATTAATCATACTTGAACGTAGCATCCAGAAATCTCCCTAAATGAATGAGACTTCTGAAATAACCATTGTAATCTCTATCTATAGCCACAGATATTGAGGAACAAAGAGCGTATTATTCAAGAGAAAGTGAAATTCAGGGAATACAGGGGTAGAAAGGATATCTTGCCTTTTGAAAAGATGAAGGAACAGAGATTGCGAGAGCACATGGTTCGATTGGAAAGAATACGACGAGCTGTTGAACTGCGAAGGTAGTAATTCAACTTTTTGCTAAAGGCTATTGTATACATTAATTGATCAGATACTATATTTAGAAATCTAATCAGAATGCATTCTGTCAAGCCTTCTAACCAGATGTTAAAGTCTGGGACTCTACCTAACAGTATCTTTTTGGGAATTAACAAACTCCAACATTTTTGTGTAATCTTTTCATAGCTATATATGTACACACATGGCTTTGAGTTTGTTATAGTGGGGGCTCTATCTCATAAGTGTCACTGCATGCCAGTTTTCTTTTTGGAAAGGTGAGAAGTAGACTAGAAGACAGGGCCAGAAGTAGTGTTTGGGATTTGCTTGTTTGTATTATGCTTGATTTGTAATTGAGAACATTCTCAGTTTAAAAACAAACAATCTTGACCCTTTAAATAGAAAGACCAAATGGCTACACTGTTCTGTTCTGCTGTTTTCATATGGCCAAAAGCTTGCAAAGAGCAGTTAAATGAGCTGTGTTGTTAGCTGGGTTTCCCAAAACAGAGGGAAACAATTCCTAAACAAAGGAATTCCCAGCAAGCATAGAGCTTAAAGGAGAAAATGCCTTTTGTGCTTCCTCTGGGCTGTATTATGGGAGGTAAAAAGAAGAAAGCAAGATGAAGTCTTGTTTATGAGTCTACTAACTAGTGCATACTGGAATGGTCATGATTGGCCATCTGTTTGTCTTTTTGGGCAGAAAACCCTAAGTAAATGTTTTGTTAGCTTGAAGAAGACAAAAGTTAAATAGCATTTATTTCAAATCATATCCTTGGCTGCTGAATACTCTTGTTACTGTGTGCCATGTGACAAAGGAGAAATCCAAATTAAGAGTAAAATACATCAAGAAATGATTCTTGAAATAACTTTTCCTATCAGTTATCTGCTAATGGTTCTGTAGATAAGCTAAAACCACTTTGGTTACTTGGGGCTAAAAGGAGTAGACTTCTGGTGCAAGGACTTCTGTGAAGAGCTTACTCTGAATTAATTTTTTAAATGTCTATGCCTAAGGTGATGTTAGTTTTGGATGACAGAATTTTTCAGATGAATTTCTGCTACCTCTTTTCTTTTTCTTCAGGCGAAGAGAAATTGCGGAGCGAGAGCGCCGCGAGCGAGAGCGGATCCGGATAATGCACGAGCGAGAGGAGTGCCTGCAGAGGGAGAGGGAGCGGCTGGAAATCGAGAGGCAGAAGCTGGAGAGGGAGAGGATGGAGCGGGAGCGATTGGAGAGAGAGCGTGTTCGGATTGAGCAGGTGGGCAGAGCTGTGCTCTGCACTGTGCAGGAGCTTTTTGGAGGATGGCCCATTTTGCTCTTCTACCTGGTCCTTTTTCTTTAATACAACCCAGCCAAACATTACATAATTCACATTGTACAACAATGGGAATGTTCATCTTGTTTGCTTGGGAGTAATTTAATGTAAAATGCTTGCACCTGTAGCAGCTATACAAGTCAGTCTCTAAACATGAAGTATTGTAGATCACTTTGTCTATACCACTCTTCCATAATTTGACTGGATTTTTCCTATAAAATACCACTGCAAACTTCAGGAAATGTTTGTGGGCAATAAATACAGTAGTAATAAAAGAAATTACCTGGAGACATTTCTATGTAACAGCCAATAGCATGTTCAGATCTGTTGTCTACTTTTTTAGAGAACTTCCCTGTGCTCTTTAGTCTTAGATGCTACCCAAGGATGAATTTTATCAGGTAACCTTTAGCAGAAAACTGACAAGGGATAGGTCTGTGTCCTTGCTAAGTGTTCTGTGGGTATCCCTAGTAAAGACCTGCTCTGTGGTTCCTTCTGTGGCAGGAACGCCGAAAAGAAGCGGAGCGAATCGCGCGGGAGAGGGAGGAGCTGCGGCGGCAGCAGCAGCAGCTGCGGTACGAACAGGAGAAGAGGAATTCTCTGAAACGGCCACGGGATGTAGATCACAGGTAATTCTCAAACTGGTCTTTTGCAGAACGTAATAAAGAGCTACAAGCCTTGTATCAGATTTGAAAATGCATTTGGATCTGAAGCAGGTCTTCTTCACAGAAGAACTGGATTTCTGGTATTGGTTTGACATCAGTTTATGACAAATATGGAACACTCCTTATCTTAGGAGGGAGCTTTGAAATTAGAAAAGCATCCCGTGAATTAATTTTTATTGTGTGAAAAAGCCACAGTCTAAAACATTTGCTTAGAAAAGCTGTTCTGCCTTAATGGTTGAAGCTTCTACTTTAAGAATTCATATTTCTGCTAAATGGATGGTTAGTTTTGGGTGTTGTCTTAAATGATTTTGTCTACTACTCTTTAAAAAGTCTACCTTTGTCAGTGGCTTTCCAAAGATCAAATGAGCATCTCCTAAAATAGACAACTGACTCTCAACAATTTTCTGTGTATTAGGCCTTGATTTGGCTACAGGTGACTGATGAGGGTTCCTTTGTTTTGGCTAAAGGAGAGATGATCCTTACTGGAATGAGAGTAAGAAGATGGCTCTTGATACAGATGCACGTTTTGGCCATGGCTCAGATTACAGCCGCCAGCAGAACAGGTTCAATGACTTTGATCACAGAGAACGAGGTCGATATCCAGAAGGTTCTTCTGTTCCATCATCTTCTTTTGATAGGTAAGTTTAGATAATGGAGCAGGTATTTGTGTGCCAGCGTCTCTGTGGATTTCACTCCTGACTGTTCAAAACTGAACGTGGTGCTACAGGCTTTACACAGTTCTGATATAATAGAATTGCAGTACTGTCCTGACATTTCTTGTGTCTTCAGGACTGGCCACTTTTATAATGGAATCTAATCTGGTTTTCTCTGAGGACTTTAAATTAGCTACCTGGTGACCTTTTTGTGAGACATTTCAAAAGGATTTTTGCAATTATTCCTTCCTCTTCCACATCTAGTCATAAGTTCCTGTGGATTACCTGTGTAATTTACTGTGCAGGAAATGCTGGTTCCAGGTGGAACTTCATGGTTCCAGTAACCACTAGTAAAGCTAAGACCATATAATTGTAGCTTCTGGAATTCTGCTTTTAGGTTGCAGTGAACTACAATTGTAAATACAATTCTGACTTGGGAAATCCAGCATTCCCCATTTCATAGTGGGCAAAAAGGCAGCCCCATAGTTGCTTAAATTACACTGACCAAAATAGGAACAAATAAAAGCATAAAGAAATGTTTAACTGGCTGTTAGAACTCAAGCTCAAAATTACAGTTCTAGAAATAAATACAGTTTGGGGTGGGAAGAATTTCTGTTCCACATATATAGTAACAAACAACTAATGCAGAGATGAATGATATTTTATATCCTCATGTACGTGCTTACACATGCAGAGAAAGGTGCAAATGGGAAACAAGCAAATGACTCTTTCCTACTTTTACAACTTAGGCGAGATCGTTTTGTAAATCAAGGTGAGGCAAAAAAGACTCGCCCAACAGCACGAAGAGAAGAGCCAGGCTTTGAGAGATACCCCAAGACCTTCAGCGAGTCCAGAAGAAATGAACCACCGCAGGCAAGAAGCGAACTCCGGGACACGGACAGACGCGAGGTGCGAGGAGACAGAGACGAAAGGAGAACGGTGATCATTCACGACAGACCAGAAATCCCCCACGGCCGGCACCCCAGAGAAACCGCTTCCAACCCGCCTCGGCAAACCAGCTGGAAGGGCGAGGGGAGCATCAGCACAGACAAACGGGATGGCAGGTAAATGTGCTGACTGGCCAGGGAAAGGACTGATTCTTGTAGAATTCATCCATAGCAGCAATTCCTCAAGAATTAGTGTGTAAAGAGAGAATAGACCCTCTCCTCCTAAAGAAGAAATATGCAGGGTATCAAATGCTAAATCTCATCTAGGAACTGGTTGCTGACTCCCAGCAGTCTGTTCTTAATCATGAGTAGCAACAGAGATAAGGAGGCTTTTGTGTATGCAGATGTAAACAAGTAGCACATGAGCTTGAATTATTTAAAAAGCCACATAGATCTAAGGGAATGTATCTAAGAAGTCACTGCAGGTTGCTAGGAACCACAGGAATCTCTGTTGTCTACATGTGCTGTGATTTGGTACCAATTCAACTATACTGAAACCCCAATTTTGATGAAAGCAATTTTTACAGAGGCGAGCGGCCGGATCGGTCGGGAAGGGAAGTGTCGGGCCACGTGAGGGGAGCGCCTCCCGGGAGCCGCAGCAGCGCCTCGGGCTACGGAGGCAGGGAAGGAGAGCGGGGCGTCATGGGAGAGAGAGGTGGAGGACAAGTGAGTCACCTTCTTGTGTGCTGTGCGGGAAGGAGAGGCTGGAAAATGCAGACTCATGCTGGAAAAATGACCATGTAACATCATCAAAATGATTCACAAGCGTTCTGCCTTATTTTCAACTTAGCTTTCTTTATGTTAAAGGTTCTTTTCTAATAACCCAAAAAATTACAAAAAAATTACCCTATTCTTCTTTATGATGCCAGCATCTTTATGATAAGAACAATACCTGAGAGAGTAGATTAAGCTTTTGAGAATTTGTTGTCAGTTTTTCAGGATTTTAACCATACACTCACTGCCTGCTATTTTCAGTGCAGTTTGTAATGTGATACTAAGTGAAAATCCTTCTGCAAGACTTGTCTTTAAAGACTACAGATTAACTCACTCCTGCTGGTAACTCCTGAAGTATCTAAAACGTATTAATGTTCTTCTTCCTGAGTTTTATACCAGTGATGAGTTCGGGGCAGAACTGACAGTAAAGTATGAGTTTGTGGAACCTCACTCAGTGCATACCCACACACTCATCATTGCAACTAAGTCTGTTACCTAGAATTAACAGGAATATTGTAAACATGTGTGAGCAGCCTGTGGACTGAAATCTTGAAAGACTTGTGTTTATTCTATCAGCTGTAAGCTTATCTTTCTTGACAGACCTGTTGCTTGTAGGTAAAAGAGCCCCTTCTTTGTGAGGATGACTGTGTGTCACTTTGTCCCCAGCACTACAACGAGGACAGACACGTCGTAGAACGCCACAGTCGTGAAGCTGGACCAAGGAAAGAATGGCATGGACCTAGTTCTCAAGGGAGTGGCTATCATGACACAAGGAGAATGGGAGATGGCCGTGGAGGAGGGGGCATGATGGCTCCACATACAAGGTACAGAAACCACTCCTTCCTCTCCATTCCCTACTGAGCCCCTGCAGGCTGTGGTGTCCTTGGGAAGGGCAGCAGTGTGGGTGGCAGCAGGGTGACTCCCTGTGGCTGCTGCCCAGCCACAGCCCCACCTGCCTGGCCAGCACAGGGCTCCCAGGGTGCTGCTGCTGCCAGCAGGGCCCAGCAGCACAGCACTGAGGGACTTCTTGCAAAGTCTCTCCTCCTGCATGTTTTCAAGTCTCTTTTGAGACTTACAGTTTAACAGTTGAGTGATAGGAGATGTAAGAATGTTATTACCTGTGCACCAAGGAGTTTAGGTATGTATCATAACACTTTTTTTAAAACTTCTGTTTCCAGTAACTCTTCACCCATTAATAGAGTTGTACAGATCACAGGCAATTCCATGCAGAGGGGAAGTGGCTCAGGATTTAAGCCATTTAAAGGTGGACCTCCACGAAGATTCTAAGATCTACAGCTGTTTGGTTTCAAGATAACTTATTGAAATTTCTTGTAAACTTTCTCTGATTAAGAACAGGAAATCTTGTCTGGAAATCCTGGTTAAATTTTTTTAATTTAACATGATTATTTTCCTCTCTATTTTGGAGGCATTTTCATAGTTACGTTGTAATTTTGGATAGTTTTTGTGTATCTTTGATAAGCATTTTCCCTGAGGCACTAGAGCTGTGTAAAAAGAAATTGGAACCAAAATATTTGTTAATTCTGTACAAAAGGATAGTTTGCAGCTGTGTGCTAGTAGTTTGATTTGCCAACATTAGCTCTGTGGTGTCATGCTTTAAAGTTAGCTACTTCTCACAACATCCACAATAACCTCCATTTTGAAGGTTGTCCAGACTATTATCTCTGCTTTCTAATTTGTAGAGAAATAAGATTTGTTCTTTCATTACTGGGTATTATGTAACCTATTTTTGCAAAAGGTACTGTTACATTGAGTGCATTTATGTGTATTCTTGCAAATGTATTCTTTTGAAATAAACCTTCATATTCTGTATAGCTTCTAGTAAGTCTTTAAAGCAGCTTTGGGGAAGGAAGGCAGAATTGAACAGACATGTTGGCATAGCAAATCAAAGCATGGGTGCCATTAGGTTCTAACTAAAACTTGTCTCCTTCACTGTTACTGAATTGAGAAACTTAGGAGCACATTTGCTGACAGAAGAAAGATTAGAACCAAAAAATAGCAAAATACTCAAGCAAGGCCCAACAAAATAATTTTTGTTTTCTCTTTGTGTTTAGCAAAGCTCTGAGGAAGTTTGAATCAGCTGGGGTTTTACACCAGACTAGCACAGGCTCTGCTTACAGGGCTTGGGGACTCCTGCAGCTGCTCCTGATGTGGCCTTGAGCAAAAGGCTGCATCTTGTTAAGCCTTTTGGACTGGGTCAGCATGGAAGGCTCTGTGTAAAACTGTTCTGGACAGGCCCAAATAGAAATGCCAGGCAGCCAGGCCAGGAATCATTTGTCACCCAGCCAGGGTAAGGGTATAGGTACAGCTCTGCTGGTCAGCAAGGGAAAAAAGCAAATGAATCCCACTTGGAAAAGCTGGGTGGTGATGGTTACCCAGATGAACAGGGGACTCCTGTCAGAACAGGAGAGGTCAGGAACAGTCCTTGAATAAGAGCTGGAAGGGTTTACTGATCCAGGCTGCCTGTGAAAGAAGGATTTAAGTTACATTTTTTAAGGCATGAGGCAGTAAGAAGGTGATTTCTGCTTGCTGTGTGGAAGAACTGCTAAGCACCTGCAGTGTTCCAGGGGAATCACGAGCAGAGAATGAGTTCAGCCAAACTGGTTTTGAGTAAGCAGCCTTTCAGGAAAGATGGAGGAGAGAGAAACTGAGAAAAACCTGCTGTGCACAACAGCATTGTCTCTAAATAATCCTATATGGATATTCACATCTGACAAATACTTAGTGCATTTTGTTTGTTTAAACCTGTCTCAGCAAGTGTGTCACTTACCTTGGTATATTTAATACATCTTGTTCAATTCTTAAAAGAAAAATCTAGGAAGCTCAATTTTTACTGAGTTTTGCTGCAGGAGTTTCCAAGAGAAAGTACAAGTTCCCAGTGCATTTTCCAAAGTACTTGTGCATTTGGCTGCAGTCTGTGCTTTATCAGGTGTGACAACACACACAACAAATATCTGCTCCAAGATGAATTTATAGTGGCTAATGGATTGAATGGGCAATTTCAAAGTTTATAACCTTAAAGGATAAAGCTATAGAGAGGTACAAAAATAAAACTTGAGATGTGCTTGGTTCCCTGTAAAAGTCCAGATATGCATTCCAGCCGTTATTTAAGTAAATTAAAAATGTGATTGTGCAGGTAAAATAATTTCACTTAAAATACTAAAACAAACTCAGACAGTGGGGGAAAAAAACTGATAGAAAACAAGTTGCTGAAACCTTTGAATTTATCAAAAGCTGAAGAGCACCAGAAGTCTACCCTTTTTTTCCAGGGTGAGTTTTTGTTGGGTTATTGTTTGTTAGGTTTTTAAGTATATTTTTTAAAGTATATCATCCAAACTTTATTATTAGGAAAGAATTTAAATATCTAAATGAAATATTTATTTAAGTTTGCTCACTTAAATTTATTTACATACAATGAGTTTCAGAAGACTGTTAACCAAAATAAATCTCAGTTGGGTAAAGACCTTGAACTAGAGAGAGGCTGATAGCAGGAGACACTATTTAAAAGGTAACAGATTTTAACAGCTTTGTGGTACACAAACAAAAAGGGGTATTAAGATACAGAACTGGATTTCTATGAAAACTATTTGTGTTCAAAATTATTTTAACAATTTACAAGGAAATGTTATTTCCTTATAGTCTTTAAAAACACATTAATACAATATAAACAATTAAGGCTTTTAAAATGCAAAACATTCAGTAGTTGAACTTGTAGATGCCATTACAGTGCTGGATAATGGTGTCACATGATGAAAAGTATTTCATTCACATACATTGGTACAAATGATACTGCATGACTAGATTTAATTGTGTCATGCACCTCTAAAACACAAGTTAAAAAAATTTAACTTCTCCCCTCTCTTGGTAAATCCAGAGTTACTTGCATCAGCTTTACTTTGCATTTCCTTTTAAGAGAGATCAAGTAAGCATGGGGTGACTAAGACTCACAGCTGAACTGCTGATTTAACACAGGAATTGCACAATTCTGGTGGCATCTTGAAGACATTACTAATCTGGAAGTATTGTGGAACTTTTCTAAAATATGTCAGGTTTTGTGGGGGGAGCTTTTTAAAAAAACATTTCATTGTAAAAACACCCAGTCAAGGCAGTTAAGACAACAAATATTTGACTTAGCACTGGAGAACTTGGGACAACTTCTGTAGGATTCATTTTTGTATGTTCCATCAGTCATTTCTTCACCAAGCTTACATGTGTGTGTAAAAGGTGATTATTACAGGTTGTACAAATAAGGGCTATGCAGCTGATGACCAGATAAAAGGAGAATTGAAAATTATTTAAAAAAAAACTTTGTAAGAACTTGTTTTGCTGAAAGCTGTAATATAAACCAAAACTGTGTCATTTAACATTAAAGCTCTATCAAGGTATTGTGGGGAAACTGCTGACAGTATTTCTCACTCCTTTATAAAGAAATTGCTTAAGAAATTAACATAATACTGAGCAAGATGTAACATATTTAGAATATTTCTGTGGCACAGGACAAGTACTTGATACTTCTGAGAACTGCTATCAAAGTTGTGAGGCTCAGCCTGTACACAGTGACCACCCACTGCAGAACCACAGGGAAAACCATTCCCAGGTGCTGTGCTCTGTCCAGTACAATCTGATAGCAACCTGCAGGAATTGGGGTTCCTTTGCAAATACAAAGCCTATCCAAAGCAGAACCTGCTTACTTCATCAGTGTCTGCACTCTAACTCCCTCACAAGTCACACTTTCCAGCAGAGTGTTACAGCACTGGTCATGGCAAGAGTTCTCAAAATACAAGTGAAGAAACCCTTGCCTACAATGGGTTTGTCTCTTGAAATCATTGTACCTATGGTCACTTTTTGAAGGGGTTCTCTAAAATTATTTTTGCTTGCCAATCCCTAAGAGAAGGCATGCAAGAAATCCAGAAATGCAAGCACACCTGCTGTAACCCAAGTATATGGAATGCAAACATGTAATTATTGCAACTATTCATGATAAAAAATGCAAAAGCTGGATTACAAATAGTTTCAAGTCCACAGGCAGGTTCCTTGGTTCACTGTAGCCATCTGCAGTGACTTGAAGATATCAGCTACTACTGTGCTTTTCCAAGCAATGGAAGGATTTTATTTCCACAGCAATACTTTTTTTTCCTGTAGTTAATAGAATCACTGGTAATGTACCCCCATGCAATTGGCCAAAGTCCCCATACTGTTACCTCACAGAGAACCTGCTTTCAAACTTTGAGTGTGAAGGGCTTCACTAAAAATCAATTGTGAACCCAGCAGTAACTAAGATAAACCAGATTCTGGTGCTGGTTAACCTGCAATAACAAAAGCCCTAAAATTAACAGACTTATTGCTGGCCTGATACCAAAATACTGGAGAGAAAATTGTCTTGTTTTTGTAGATATTTTGGAGTTCCTCAAAACAAGAGATGAGCAAACCTAAGGGTGTTCCCATTACTCAGCTGATTTAAGTTTTTTAAGTGATTTAAGACACATTGGTGTTTCTTTTAATTGCAGCTTTGACCTTTTCCTTGGCGTGTGCCAGTAAGCAGGAACAAAAGCCATCAGAGGGTTTCTGACAAAAATACAAGTTATCCCAGCTTTTTTGGAAACACATTCAGAAGAAATCTAAAAAATGTTAAACTAAGGTGAAATTTTCAAAACTGCTTAGCATAAACTTAACTTTTCAAAGGTACAGCTGAAGTTTTAACTCAAAAAGCCCATCCAAATTTTCCTAAAGGCTTCAGCAAGAGAACATGAACTTCAAGACAGACAAGCATTCCATTATTTTCTCCAGCTCTGTGATGGAGAACCTCAGTTTGTCTCAGCTGAAGGCTTTGGCTCCTGAGACACTATTAGATCAATCCCCATGTTTCACAACAGGTGTCACTTATGGTGGATGGGACCTAAACTGAAATTGGGTCAGCTCTAAAGGAAGTCGAAGAGAGTAATTTTAAAAAATAATAAAAGCTTGTGTCCCTGTGCAGCCCCAAGGTCTGTGTACATTTGGCTGAGTGTTTGACTCTGTCAAACAACCCCCACTTCATTCACTGCTGGAGGGCAGCACGGGCAGGGCCTCAGCTCTGCTCAGAGCTGCAGCTGCCTTGGGTTGCAGCAGTGTCACACGATTTGTAAACACTGTGTAGACTGAGCTGGCAACACCTCAGTTACTGTGAGTGCTAAAACTTCATCTCAATCATTCCCTAGGATTTCCCAAAAATAACACTATTTTGTTGCATGTTTTTCTATGCTGTTGAGGCAAACATGGGATCTTCACTTTCTGATGATGATTAACTGAGTATTTAAAGATTTTTAACCTTGAAAAACAAAGAGTTGCCCATTTCAGCACATAAAGCTTCTCCACGAACACAAGTAATCCTACAAAAGAGAAAAGGAATGAGGAAGGCAGATTTCAGCAAGTTCTCTAGAGAGAACTCTCCAGCAAAGAGCTCAGAGTGACAGGAGCTGACATTGACCAAAACTGAACAGTAGGCAACTGGCATTTAATAAGAATATTTGGAGCTATCAGAGGATCAGCACAGCCAGTCCTGACTTTAAAGCACAGTGAGAGTGAAGAGCAGTGTCCAGGGACAGACACTGCCAGCCTGCCAGGAAATGAACCTGCTGGGCATTACCTAGGTGAGAAAACGTGGTCACTGCACGCTGTGCCACAGCTATTTGTGTCCAAAACAACAGCAAAATTAAGGACAAAGCCTCAAACAATCTCTAGAGGTAGCATAGGGACTTCTTTACGTTCCAGCCTCTCTTTCCTCCTTAGCATTCCCCTGTGGCACTTCTTCCCCATGAAAGCAGATCACAGCTGAGCTTGCATCCACTGCTTTCCTACTGGGCAAGCTGTGGAGAGGGAGCTGTGCAGGAGCACTGAACATCAGACAGACTCTGTACATGACATGGTGTGACAAGTGTCACTCACCTCTTCTCTTTGCCCACTCAGCACTAACAGTCTCTGGCTACTTATTCTTAATTAAAAAGGATGTGCACTTGTCAAGATGAAATGCCATTTTCAGGCCTTGCACATGACATTTGCTATCCCTGGACTGAATTAGTATTTTTGAAAGTTGGATTTTTCTTGCTCCTAAGGTGCTCATCATAGCACAGATGGAAAAAATGGGAGCATTCTACTGCAACCAAACTACAGCTTGTTATTTTTGCTTTTCTGTAATACATTTTCTAATGAGGATTCTCCATCAATTAATGTGCATTTCCTGAGTCACCTGTTCAATGCTGCAACCTTTAAAAATCTACCGTATGTTTTCTAATGAGGATCCTCCATCAATTAATTATTTTCTGACTCACCTGTTCAATGCTGCAACCTTTAAAAATCTACTTTTATGTAAAATAAGCTCATAATTCAGTATATTGTATGGAAGGATGTACTTTGTATAGATTCTCTAATAAGCATCCTAATGCAAAGAGCTGATCCAAGCAATGAGCTGAGCTGACTTTGTTACAGAACCAGTGGAGCAGGAATGAAGAATGGTTCAGTTAAAAATACATCAGCTTTACCTTTCACTTTAGTATTTCCTGCTGAATGCACAAGAAAATTCATTTCAAGAACTCAAAACTGCCTTTTATTACATTCTGGAAACCTTTTTTCAAGAGCTTGTGTGTACAAGTTTGAAGAAACGTGACAGTAATGTGACATCCCAAGTGAGTCAGAGCCTGCCTGGCAATCCCAGCAGAGCCTGTGCTTCCCTGTGTGAACTCCTGGGAGCCACAGAAGCAGCTCTGCAGAGAAGCTCTGAACACTTTACTTCTGATATGAGCAACATGGACAGCTAACAAAATGGAGTTTCTACATTGTGTTTAAGTGCATTTTCAGGAATGCTAATTTAATTCTCTGGTGTTACAACGCTCTGTTGGATCTGCTTTGCTGGGTTGCAGATTCCATGAGTGTCACAAGGAAACTGGTGGATTTGAGCATTTACAAAGTGCCTTACAGGAAAACATCTCTACGGCAGTGCTCAGTTTTTTGCTAATCTTAAGAATACTTGTATGTAGCTTTCTTTATGTCACAACTATAATGCAACAACAAAAATTCTATGATTCTGTTTTCTGTGCTAGCATTTATCTAGTGGAAAACAAGTTCTACTCTACTTTTCTGGACACTTTCATATATATTATGTAGGTATTTGGAGCACGTACATGCTAAATTGTATAAATAGATTTAAAGTATAAATCTATACCCTTTCGCCAGAACATGAGCTGGAGGAAAAAAAAAAAAGAAAAAGAAAAAAAAAGGCAAATGAAGTAAACAGAAGTAGATATTGTTTTCCTGGTACTCCAAGACTAAATTGTGCAATACTGTTTTCCAAGCTCACTTCATATACATAAAAGCAATTCTGTTCAGGTTTTTTGATCCACAGATACTGTCAGAGATACCAACTGTGACAGGTGCTTTTGGAATGGTTACTCCCAGTGGGGCATAAATTAAGCTTCCAGGTGAATTTCCTTTTGGGTATTAGGAAGCTCAACTCCTTATAACTTTGGCCACTAACAAGTTCAACTCACGCAGCCCTAGATTACAAGAATTCTTTACCTTTTTTCCAAAGCTTCAAGACCTGTAAAGAAAAAAGGATATTAACAGAGGACTGTTTTCATAGCATGCCTTCCATCTCAAATACCCTGAAACCTTTACTCCTCTGTTGAAAGAAACTGAATTATCTGGGAGTTGCAACCTCATGATGAACTCTTCTTCCTCTGTGACCAAATGACCATAATTCCTCTAACTGCAGAATATTAAGTTTCAGGCACATCTGTCTGAATCTGGAAATGTTACACGAATTCTTCCAATATGAACAAGTATCTTAGGCAAAGAGATAAACTCCATAGCCACAACAGCTAGATTCCTTCCAAAAGGAGTTAAAGTGGCAATACTGTCACTGAAAATAATAACAAACACTTAGCTTGACATATTTATTTTTCAAGGTCAATAAATAAATGTAAATACACAAAATTTGGAAAAATCTTAGTAACAGAATGTTTTTAAACAACATTCTGGCTTAAAGTCTCTGTTATTGACACTATTGGAATAGTTTCTCATCTACTTAAAGTAGCTAAGTCATTATGTTGGTGATCCTCCATCACATTAATTTTGAAGAAGTTAGGCTGCTGCAAAGGAAAAAAAGACATCAACCTTTGCTTTGACATAGAAAATTATCTGAACTGCATACATTAAGTATTAAAATTACTTCTCTGGGCATGACTTTTCTAGAGAAGATATTTTTAAATTTACAGTTTACATATTAGAGACCTCCTACTGTTCATTACTTCATCATTATAAAAGGGAAATCGTAACAAAAGTGGAAGAAAAACAAAAGAGGAAAAGGCATGGAAGAAAAGTGATACAAATTGGCCCTTTAGTTAGTAAGACATTCTTCCTTTATCTCATTTTCATTCTAGGTTGGTAACAGATGTGTGTGATGACTGGTTGCCATCAGTGCAGCCAGTCTGCTTGAAGTAATTGTGGACTGGTTTTTTACCAGTGGACTTGTGTTAGACACCCACTTTTGTAGACATTCTCCAACACCTGGAAGCAGGAATGTCACATTCCACCTCAGCTTGCCCAGGTTATTCTCTGTGAACACTAAGGCTTAGAGCACAGATACAGAACTTGTCCAGGAGAAGCAGCCTTTTTCAAAAGTATCTACAAATCGCTAAATAGAAATTTTTATCAAAAGGTTCACCAAGAACTAATTGTTATTGATTTAATGGAAGTGGAGGAAGATTTATGGTTCCCTCAAAATTCACCAAGTGTTCTGTTTCTGCATTCTATAAATACTGCAAGATGCAACATGTTTATTTGGTTCCCATAAATTAGAAAAATCTGGTTTCCAAAAATTCTAAATTAGTGATTTAAAAAACAAAATATTACACCTGATCACCTTTCAAACCATCTCAGAGAGGCAGCTTCACTCCTCTCACCCCTTCAGAAGTGTGCTTTTTTAAGAATACATGATTTATAAAACAAACAAAAAAGTGTGTTTCTAACTACAGTACACTTGCTTAAATATACAAGTGGACATGTTAACGTCATGTTGAAGTTCAAGGTACTTCTGGATAAAAGGCAGATATTAGTTATTTTAACTCTGCATTCTTATAGAGAATAACGATTATTATAGACTTTAGTTTCCTCTCATCATTCATCTATCATATGGAGAGGTCAATAAATAAAAGCTTATCTGGTCCAGTTTACCTACAAGAGAAAAAAAATAATAAAAGAAAAAGAAGTTACCTATAAAATTGTTTAACCCTGATAACATCTGAGTTGCCATACCCAGTTTGTAGATGCAAGAAAAGCAAACAATATTCATCTTGCTTTTTAATAAATGCCCCATTTTCTTCATGACAATTTTTGTATGCTGCCTATCAAGTCACATACTCTTGGGGCAAGAAAGCTGGCCAGGAAATGCAGTGATAGCAGTAACAAGTATAAATCTGGGTTCAAAAAAAGAACATACCAGATCCAGAAGCAAAGAAATCTGGACACACTGAGGAGGCAGTGCCCAGCTGTTATTTGGGCTCTTGTGTCGTGGAGACTATACCCAGCCTAAGATATAGCTTCATACTAAGGAAGTAACACAGAACTCCGTTGTGCTCGTGTACAGACTTCAGGAAAAAGCCTTACACAACATGAATTACCTTGGTTTAGAGTAGAAGATAAAATAGCTTACTAACTGATGTAATGAGTAATGGATGTCACTATGACACAGGACTTGCCATGAGTTGTGTGTTCAGCTACAAGGTGCAATATTTCTTATGACTAACTCAAAGCACAGCCGCATCCAACTGTGATTTGGAATTCCCTCTTGAGCAGCACGCGCTATGACTTTGAAGGAAGTCTGATTGGTCAAAGTCATCCATCCTCTCTTGGAACATGAACAAAATCCATGGGGTAATCAGGCACAGGCGGCATGTAACAGGTTTGTCTTCCTTTTGACTCCTTGTTTTTGCTTCTGAGGACATGCACTCGGCTCCAGATGGATCCATGTTCTGTTACAAGAGAACGCAGCTGTTCTTCTCCTTCTCCCTCTCCTTCTCTCGAGGCTCTTTGCGTTTGCGTTCGTTGCTCCCGGATTGTCGTGTGCTGGCTGGAGAGGCAGCACCTTGTACCTGCTGGGTGGGGAGAATAACATGGGAAATAAACCCAGCACCATGGCACATACAGCCTCAACTCCTCCTGTGTGGTCAAGCTCACAAACAAAAAGTTTAAGTATTATGCAAACCAGTGGAGTTCAGGTCGGGTTTTTGGTATATACTCCAGGACCTCCACAAAAGTTGTGTATTTCTTGAAAATTAAGTCAGCTGAAAAGATATTTCAAGTTTCATGTGTCCCTTCTGTTGTGTTCACATATACAGATCGGTAGTTTCAATAAAATATGGTTTCAAGCATTTTCTGGCACTTCTGTATTATTGCACTGAAATTTTTTTTTGGTTTCTCTTGTAAGTACATAATCCACATTTCACTGTTTGCAGAGTCAAAGGGCTGGTGTGGACAGCGAGATAATGGTAAGGCAGCAGCTTTTTGTGACTAGAAACTCTTTAATAACTTGGCAAGGAGGTTGGTATACAAAGGCAACATAAGTTTTGTTAATTCATCATCTATTCCCTCTGTTATCCATTCACAGGCTCTTAATCCTGTTCAGCAGGTTCTTCAGTTCCTTCTGCCTTGGGCAGATATGACTCTATGTCTTAACTAGGTACTGCTGGTTCAATTAAAGCAACAAAGAGTGCAAATAACACAACTTTTACCTGTCAAAATTCTCGTTTCATGCTTAAACTTATCAGGTAATGCTTCTGAATTACTTCAGGCCAAAGATGCAGGCTTTATATAGATTATTTCTTATATATTTGTAAATAAAAGCAGTTCTGAAAGCCCTCAGTGGTTAAGAGCTCTCTAAATCCAAACCACCAACTTAAATATTGTGTCTGTCACAGAAGATTCAGTTAAATTACATTTTTTGATAGACATGTGCATGAGTCACATTTTCAAAGGACTTTGAAATCAGCTGCTCATGGGTATGGGACAGAAAGGGGTACTGGGAGAAACTGTGAATTGCCTGATTTGGAGCAACAGAATAGATTCACTTGAGATCACAGTTTAAATCACCTAAAAATGTACAGCAAAAAACTTCTGCAAGACAAAATAAAGACAAAGCTTCAACTATTATCAAAAAGGTTAGCTCAATGCACTTCTGCAAGTAATGTAAAATACTAGTAATACCATTTTGTAACCTGACATATTAGTTCATACCATCATTCTAAATTAAGTATAAATGAAACCCTAATTTAGAAGGCTAAGCCTGCTTTAAAGTATATAAATGTCTGCAGTTGCCATATCTACATGCATACTCCAACAATTGTAGTGTATTCCTAAAGATCCCTATATTCACCTCAGGATGAAATGTGTACAAGCACAGATGCGTCTACGCAATTACTCATACTTTCCAAAATTGAGGATCATATTCTGTAGTACTTTCTTCTTACCTGGACCTGAGCAGCTGCTTGTTCTTGTTCCTGATAGTACTGGGAAGCTCTCCTGTCCTCCTCCTCCTGGAGCTTCTTTGCTAGCTCTAGATCACTGATTCCTTCTGGGATCTGTTCCCAGTTAATTTCTTGATTCTGCTGCTCTTGTTGTAGAGACAATGCCATCAGGTAATCCTAAAGAGTAAACTTGTGAATTAATGCTCTTTCCCAGAGAACAGAGTCAAGTCATACCAAGTGAATTTTTCAGCATGTGCAGCTACACAGTACCATCACTTTTCTCCAGCCTTATCTTCAAATGGAGATCAGGAATTTGTTTCACAACCTGTGCATAACCTCAACTGCAGGAAGGCTGAGAACAGCTACTTTACATGTCTGCTTTCACAATGACTAAGCTGCAGCACAGAAGACACAAAAACTAATTTTAAAATGTTGTTTTCAGGTTTAAATTCTATTATCTAGACAGCAGCAAATTATCTGTCAGATTTTTATTCTGAGAATTACTAATTTCCCCCCAGTATTTAAAAAAATTAATGGTGATCACTATAAACTTGTTCAGAATGTAAGATTTTCAAGGAACTTAGTCTTGCTCTGCACTTGTGCATTAACTGGTACAACTCAGCCCCACCTCAGACATGACTTCTTCAAACTCTGTGTCTCAGCAAGAATAACAAACACCCACCATGACACACAGTCTGCTGTGGGATCTGTCCTACACTCAGCCAGGTGGGCAGCAGAAGGCAAAGTTCAGCCATGACAATCTTAATGAGCTGAGGGGAGTTTGTTATGTAGGAAGAAATTCCACAGTCTGCTTCTGTTTCCATATACAAACCAGAGGTGACTTTTCACCTGAGTGAGGACTTGCCAGAAGTGGATTCTGAGAGATTAAAATCCCCTTTTCCAAACTACTCAGCTGGTGTTAAGTTTTCCTCCCTCAAAACCCTATTAATACATCCAAGTGGCACTTTTGGGAACCCAAATCTAATTTGCCTAAAGGAGTTTTACAGTCCCAGATATGCATGAGTATACACACATGTGTGGAATTACACATAAATATGACTAAAAATCAGTACTAACTTACAATGGAAAGGCAGAAATCCAGTACCTGATCTATTTGATCCTGCTGCCCTCTGTAGACAGTTTCAGGGTCTGATGGAGGCCTCAGGTGGAATTCAGAGTCACAGAAATTCCCATCACCATCCACATTGTGTAAACTTTCCCACACAACCTTCTCTTCTGTAAGAAAGCCCTGGTCTGTCACCAGCAGGTAAAGCTGACCCTATAGAGAAGAACAAGGAAAACTTGTAATACTAAAAAAACCAGCTTTTTACAATCTAAGTAGCAGAAATGATACAAATGTTGCATTCCAATAAAACATTCATTTAGTTTTTAGCACATTTAGTAATTAAATAAATCAGCATACAGCATTAAACCACTAGATACTAGTATTCACTGCTAAATTAACAGCTACACTGTTTCTGTATTCCATCTTGCAACTCTTCATTCTTAATGGAAGACCCTATCAAGAAGAACAAGGAAAACTTGTAAAACTCAAAAAAAAAAAAAAAAGCCTTTTACAATCTAAGTAGCAGAAATGATGCAAATGTTGCATTCCAATAAAACATTCATTTAGTTTTTAGCACATTTAGTAATTAAATAAATCAGCATACAGCATTAAACCACTAGATACTAGTATTCACTGCTAAATTAACAGCTACACTGTTTCTGTATTCCATCTTGCAACTCTTCATTCTTAATGGAAGTTCATACTGATTAGAAATTAATATAAAACATTAATATATATACATGAATGAATATATTAATATATATCAAGCTATATACCTTGACAGCTCTTTAGAAACACACCTAAGAAGAGGACTTAAAACCTGGCATCAAAAACTTGAAATCCTAGGAGTAATCACATTAAATTCCAAAGGCAAGATATGGAGACAAAGGTGACCTTTCCAAACAATCCAAGAGGCATTACCTCCAAATGGCCACATCTCAGACTTCATGTTTCATAATGAGTTTTGATAGAATTTGAGGTCTGTGTCAATTGAAAGCACTAAATTTAAGATTCTTGCTATCACTTGTTACCAATAATTGCTTTTGTTGGGATTTTAGTAATTTTACAGTTCCCTAAGGCCAAATTTCTTCATTTCAGAGTCTGAAATTATAAAATGGGCTGGTCTGGAGTGAAGGAAGCAGTGCTAACAAGTGCAGACACCAAGGCACTGGAAGGATGAAGTGCAAGCTTAGGATGAAGGAGAGGGAGAGGAGCTGAAATCAAAGGGAAATAACTGAAGTAGGAACCAAGTAAAAGGAGATGATGCTGCATGTCTGAGGGACAGCAAAGCAGCACAAAATACTTGTTTAAATTTCCATTTAAATCAATCAACATTTATTTCATCCTACCTTTTTATTATGTTTTAGGATTATACTCCAGATCAAGAACATTGTTACTGACCATAGAGCATGTTAAGACTGAAGGTCCCATTAGAATGACTGAATATACAATATCAAGACACTCAATACAAAATTTGTAGCAGTGCTTTAGCTGTAAAAATCAAGGCAGTTTATTGTGACATCCACAAACATTTGGTATTTGTGTTCCAGCAGCACACAAAGGGTTCTCAAAGATCACTGTGCTCAAGTTGTACCAAAGCAAGAGGCAGATCCTGTTTTAATGATTTCTAAGGCTAAACAGGCAAGAAATGGAAACTCTGTCCATACTCAACACACAGAGAACAAGCTCCCTGACTTCTCTGAAGTCATTAAATAACTCTCTAAGGGAGATGTTGAAATTCCACTCACGTCTCGTCAATCCCACTCTGTTTACAGCTGCCCCTGCTGGGGCTGGGAGGTCACTTGATGCAACAAAAATATTATTTGAAGACTCACATACAGTAATTATTCCAATATTACCTAATACCATAACGTGCACTTATACACACTGCCGAACAGAGTGGATAAAGAATGCAAACCAAAACCAAAGAGGCAACACTACTGTATGTTCAAGCTTTGGAATGGGAGTTAACCAGCACAAGGGGTTTCACAGACATAAATGCAAGTGTCAGCAACAGGTCTGATCACATAACATGATCTAAGAAATCATCTATCCCTGGGAAACCTGCCAAATGAATGATACTCCTAACACTTAAAATTACCTTAAGAAAATAAAAGGAAGTCATTTTGCAACGCTTCCAGTTTGCACAAAATACCTATTTCACAACATTTTGTATACAAGAAGTCTTCAAAAAGATATTTTTTAAAAATCCCAGAATTTAAAAAATAAAATGTATTTGAACTTTTAAGTTTTATTTTGAACAGTACATTGACTCAAACAAAACCTTAAAAAGGGGGTGGTTTGTGTCTCTCAGATTTTCCTCCATTATGTCATACATTTTAATTACAGCCCATAAACTGTGCAGCTTAGTAATACTGAAATTGTGAAAATACCAGTTTTCCTATCTCCAAACTATTATAAGCTTAATTTTTCCACACACAAATATTAAGGTATATCACTGCCTTCACAGAATTAGAATCTAGCATCTAAGGATGGATTAAAGCCAACATTTGTTTGAAATAGAGACCTGTTTCAAATCTTAAATACAATTCATATTCTTTTTAAGAATTTTTCAGTCAAAAACTGATTGCAAAAATGTCGCATTAGAGTAAATAATACAAAATAAATGTAACACAGCTCCCTAATGAAAGGCAATAAACTGCATTACGTATCGCCACATTACCTGAACACCACCACTGCAATCCCAATACCAACTGCATACCTTCAAACATTCTGCTTCACTTGAACAAAGCTCAGCAAACCAACAAACACAGGCTCCCTAGCACCTGATAAAGTACCTGATAAGGGACAGAGGTCCTGCTCACATTACTGGAATGAAAGGAAAATGGGAAATCACAGATGAGAGATCCAAAGTCATCTTTCCCTTGTTTTTAACCAAGTTCTCTGATCTTTACACCATATTAGTATAATTAAATTGGATTCCACAAAAAACCCCAACCAGAACAATATTGCTAATGTTCATGGAACCTTTGGCAATAATTTCATATAAAGAGGAGGTGGCTCTTCTGCTGCGAGCTGTAATGTAGCCTCTCATCATGGGTCTGTTCTTCCATTTACAACAAGAAAATAGATGTCCTATCTGCAGACTGGCTCTGTAGGCGCACTTTTAGTGCCAGGCACGTTCTCTCCCCGAAGCCAAAGGCACAGGCCAGGCACACCCAGGCCCAGCAAGGGCTGCCCGTGACCCGAGAGAAGCTTTTACCGCCCGACCTTCGTGCTGCCCCGGGCCAGGCCCAGCCTGCGGCCGGCAAACAGCCGCCCTTGCCGGGCACCCCCACGGGCAGGGCCGGGCCGACACGGCCCCGGGGGAGAGACAGGGACACGGCCCAGGGAACAGGGACATGGCCCCGGGGGGAGAGACAGGGACACGGCCCCGGGGACACGGCCCCGGCCCCTGCACAGCTCACCAGGCCCAGCTCTGGACACTCAGGTAGCCAATGCACACAAAAATGGCTCTCAAGTGCCCCTCACCGAGAACAGCTGTCACGCTTTGCAAAATGTTTCTACCCTCAGAAAAGCCTTAACTGGCCATATCTAGAGCACCACCAGATTATCTTTTAGATTTGTTTTGAAATGTGGGGTTTTTTAACAAATACCCGGTCTCATGGGTTAACACTGCCCCCCAAAATAGCAGCAGGTAGCAAACAGCAAAAGTATCTACTATTAACTATAGTCAATAGGGAGTAAAACAGTGAAAGTCTCAAGTGCATAACTACAGTAGACACAGTTTACTTTAACGAAGTTATGACTAATTATTTACCCTAAGAATGGATATTTAGATATTGTAGACCAATGCCCAGATTTTATAGTTTCACATATAAAAACCTGAGGATAAAGCAAGATTATTCTCCACAACAGGGATCTCTCAGTCTTCTGGTTTGCAAAAAAACCAACCCTTTCTGAAATGCACAAATATAGGCTATAGGAGATGTTATTAGGCCTCCTTTCCTTGGATAATTTCATAATCAGATAAAATAATTAATGTTTTTAAACTATTGCTTTAATGCCAATTACCAAGTTTCCAGCAATTCAGAAAACAGAAAAAGAAAAACAAACACCTGTCCAATAGCTTCGTACAGTAAAGTCAAACATTTTAACCCTTACATTTTGAACAGTCAGTAAATATTCTCTTGGACTTCTGGATCAGATCCCTTCATTTTTGTGAAGCCATTTGAAATTGATGAATGAGTGTTGTTTTAATTTCCTCTAGCAGTTAAAACACACAGATATACTAATATTAAAAACTTTTTTTTAAAGAAAGTATGCATTGAATTGAAATCAGACTAACCCTCAGCATAAGAACTGTACACTTACTAAGAAATTGAAAAATAAACATGTTTTTAAGCAGTTATAGTCATTGCCTCCACTGTGCCAATCTTAAATGTCCAAGGAAAAAGTGCAATTATGAAATACACTTTGTATTGGAAAAAAAACAACCTGTTGAGTTCTGAAGCAGAAACACAACATTTATAAAGTAGAAAACACACATACTTAAAAATCCAAACAGGTAAGTGTCTTGATACTTTTCAGTAAAGAACACAGGTGCTATTCAAACAAGTCTGTGGGAAAAACATTCCAACTGAACTAAGATCTTCTTACCAAACTGATCACCTCTTTACAGTCCTGTTTTTCCTTGATCTAGGGAATTATCATTTGATGTATTTATTATCTGCATAATGAAAAGCAAAGGCAAAAAAAAATCACATTTTAACTGCTGAAAATTATTACTGTATTACATGACCCAAGACTATTAGTATGCAATAAAAGGGACAGGAAGTAGAAAAATTATTACTTGGGCAAATAGACAAGGTATGGAAATCCAAGTCTTTTCACTAAAATATCAGCCTAAAAAAACCCACACTGCACCTAAAAAATATGTACAGGTCCTTGTATCAGCTGTACATTAAAGCTGCCAAATAAAAGTTTAAGCATTAGCTTAATTAGAATAATAATTGCTAATTACTTAAGCTGTGTTTCTAAAAATACACTGATTTTATTACATGGACATAACTTAATAAACAGGTAATTCTCTTTTGATTAACTTTATAGCTGTTTTATTTATATGTTTCCATGTACTGGTTTGGAGGGGAAAGCGAGAAAGGCAGTATTAGAGAAAAAGAAAAAATAATTACATCATTCTTGCCCTAGAAGTTCTGTGCCTCCATTGTCCCTGGCATGTGTTGTGTCTCCAGTTTTCCCAAGGGATGGGCTTTTCTCCATAGTCCAGCTACTGCTGACTACTGCTCAAACTGTGGGGAAGCTCCATCTGCAGAGCGAGCACTAAACCCAGGAGATGGACAGAGTGGAGCAGTTGAAAGAAATCTCAGCTGTCCAGCAGCAATGCATTTGGCACTCACATGAGCATCCTGGAGGGCCAAACATTTCTGGAGAGCTGCTCTTGGCTAAAAGCCCAAGTGAAGTCTATTTCCGACTTGATGCAAAAGACCCCCTAGATGTATAAGTACTGCAAATAGCTGGGTAGGTAGGAGCCAAAACAGTTACTGCTGGCCTTTAAACACCTACTTAAAACTTATCTTCTGCCTTTATTAAAAAGTTTCTTGGTATCTCAAATTCTGCCATGTACCACTCAACAGAAATCCAAATCAAAATGAACACTGTTTACAAGCAATAATCTCGGGAACTAAAACATGTAAATAACATGGAAATGAAAGACTAACTACAAGGTCATTCCCCATAATGACTGTGAAAAACAAGAATAATGGCTGCTATTTCAAAATCTAGCATTTCAGATTTCTAAGAATTCTCAAAAAGCACAAGATTAAAACCACTGTGACTTAGCAGCAATAAACCTTAAATATTCAAGCCACACTCATCTTCAAATATTTTAACTTTATATTTCTTAGGACTTATATTTAGTTCTTACAGGTAAAACTCAAGACACAGATTTTTACTTACTGCCTTAACCTGTTCTGTTTTATTAATATTGGCTGAGGATATTTGACTCATTGATGTGTTGCATTTTATTTCTAGAAGGAAAAAGGATCTCAACTGAGAAGCAAATGTTTACAAGTATGCAGCTGCTAAAGCACAGACATACACCAGGTTTTACCCTTTAATATAATACTGGGTTGCAAAAGACTACAAAGAGCCTATGTTTTACAAAACTAATCTGAATTTATAATCCACAGGTCAAAGTGATACTCATTGACTGTATGTAATACAAATAATATTGTAAAGGATTTAATAATAGCACAAAAAATGTGTTATTTCCAGGTGTTTTTATCTGGAATGGTCTTTAAACAAAGTAAAAGAGCACCTGCACCTCTAGATACCATCTGTACCCAGAAAGTACAGCTGTACCTTTACTTTTTTAAAACCAAACTATGTTGAGGCTGGGGTTTATTCTTCCCTCCCCACTCCATGTAACAAGTGTAAAACAGTGTACAGGCTTGCTTTGCGAGCTGCCACCACCTAATCCAAGAAACAAATTTAGAAAAACAGAGAGGGGAAAAACTATACTCAAAACTGTGATTTAAATGAGCTGCATCAGGTAATATTTGACCACACACTGATTTATTTCACAGCTCTGGGTTATTTAAATGGAAGAAGGGAGGAGAAAGAGCCTTTTACCTGCCCTACTGCTTTAAGCAAGTACACAGATTTAAAACAGATCTCAGATGTGCTCTCATCAGAAAACCAAATGTGTCACCTGCTTGTAGAGTTAATCATTATTTATCAGGACTGTTCAGACCTTAAGCTCAGCTTATGAGTAGTTACTCAAAATGCCAAAGATTAGCACTGGCAGTCAAGATTAACAGAGGGAGGAAAAAAGGACTAGTAGTAACCAATGAAAGTGTCATTCACATGAGGTATGACATTACCATATAATGGCAAAACCAGGGGTTTCTTAGCTTTTTTGCATGTTACACACCTCTTCTTTTTTTGCTTTTATTACCATTATTCATAAGCACAATGAATACACAAAATTAAAGTCTCATTAAATAATAGATAACCAAAACATAATTTTAAGAGTTTTATACAAGGGTAAAAACTCATACCCTACCATCCTAGCAAAAGCAAAGTTGTTTTAGCACGAAGATGCTCCATAAATGAATGTTAACTCGCCAAACCAGATTCTCCATTCCATGGAGGAAGGAGTCCCAGGAGCACTAACCAAGCTGACACTGCTTTTTGTATCCTGGAATACTCCTTTCACAATTGCTGCCATTTTGCTTCCCCAAACACAGATAAAAATAATTAAAAGAAATTCTCTTCCCTAACAAAGGGAACCAATATTGTAGCTCATTTCAACTTCTCCAAGCATTTGGGATTTTGCATATGGACCTATTAATCTACTGGCCAAATGTAATGCAAACTTTTAGATCCTCAGAAACAGGAAATTAATTAAAGTAACCTTTTTCATGCCAACCACAAACTGCAAGAAAATTTAAGCCCTGTAAGAAGTGTACATAACTATACCTAACCACCAAGAGTTAACACAGAGAGTAAACGGAACATAAAGGGAAAGGCTACAAGAAGATTTAAAGCAGTAATTGATCCCAGTGACTAAACCACTGTAATCAGTAATTCCTAAGTAACATTTGCAACAGACCTTACATTCACTGAAAGCCATATTTATAACAAGCCATATATAACAACCTGGAATTTAATTCTATTTCAGGACAGTAAAAAAGCATGACTTGCTTTGAAACACAAAACACAACAATAAAGACAAAAATGCTGGATGTACCTTGTATTTGGTCATGGTGCTAAAATGGTTGTTCCTGAAGAACACACAAAGCTCTCCCTCTTGGACAGCTGAAGTCAACTCACACAGTCCATGGTATGTCAATTGTGTAGCTGTGTTATTTAGGAACTGCTCAGCTACAAATCCTACAAAAGCAAAACATACTGTTATGTGTGTCTATTACATACTTGCTAATATAAAACCTGGAAACAATAGCAGTATTTTTCCTATCTTTCCCTCTACGTCCCCATATTGTCGTAAGCCTTAGGGAACACATAAAAAGAGGGGACAAAAAGTTTGAAAGTTCTAAAACCACAGCATTGCAAACAAACCTTCCCACGTTTAGAAATGCTATATTCACTTCTAATATTACTCATATTTTTGCTTGTTGTAATGGAGTATATAATTAATATTCTAATTATAGGAGACAATACATAGCTAAGTTGAAATCTGAATGCTGCCACAATAGGGGAAGTTCTTGCCAGCTTTTGAAAAAGTATATTGAATTGATCAAGAGCACGCATCAGAGAAGTTGAGAAGACAAGCACAGTGTTTGTTGCCTGCCCAGGCAAAGCAGCTCAGCAGACAGAATGCAGCTCTTCCCACCTGTATCTCTACTCAGCATCACCCACGTGCAAAATATCTAACTTAGATTTGGCAGGGCACATACTTTGATAAAATACAGAAAAACATGACTTACCTTCACTAACCAGTTCACTGTTTTCTGACTGTTTACAAGAAATTATCTTCTCCACCAGCTGATTGTAACTGCAGTTACCAACTGCTTTTACTATGTCAGCAACCTGCAGCAGGAAGGGACAACATGGAGAATTTACCTTTTTTGAAGAACAGAACACAGCTGCAAGCCAGTGGCAATTATTAATAAGACAGCAAGAATTCAATAAAGAGAGAATGTTACCCCCTTAAAAAATCTAGGCCCATTTTAGCCCAGAGTGTTACATATTTGCTATTTCAGATCCTATTTTAAATCCTTCAGTTAACCCTTAGCATCCAAAGCCAAGGCAGATGGAGAGCATGGCATGAGTTGGATCAGCTGGGCCAGGGTAAGAGAACAGCAACTCTTACCAACAAGGCATGAAAAGAAAAACTCTTAGGCATTATTATTCCACCAAACTCACCAGTTTATCCCTAAGCAAACAATACCACTTTATTGTTTATTAAATAATATCATTAAAAATAAATTACATGTTTGCTAAAGATGCAGTTCTCTTCAACCAGTTCTACCATCCTCATTTCTCAATAGCAGTGAGTAATAAATCAGAATTTAAAGAGGGAGGGAAGTAAATTTGTATTCCTTCCCAGTGTTCTCTAATAAGCTTTCAAAAATGATGACTTGGACACTGTATCTGGGGCAACTTGCTACTTCCCTCAGAAAAACAATGCTCCTTTACAGAGTCAGAAGGCTTTAAAGTAGTTTGACTGTAGACCCAGGCTCTGCAAAGTTCCTGCACTAAAAACACACAGTCTGTATTCACTCCTCAATTTTTATGACTAGATTAAAAAAATTAATTATCATATTCATAATTGACTTGTTAAAATTCAGAAATACCTCCCCTCCCACCAATAACATTCAGGATAACACTTGTTTTAATAACTGAAACAGAATAACTCACCTGAGGGTCCACTAACCATCCATGGTACAAGGGGATATCGAGCAGGTCAAACACTATGCATTCAGGTGTGTATTCAAACACCCGGACACCTGTGAACTTCACATTGACGTCCAGACCCGTCTGCAACTTATGCAGAATTGCCATTGCATCACTCATATTCTGACAACACAAAGAAAGAAAGAACAGATGACCCAACACAGCTTTGTACACTTAGTGGTTACTCTTGCAACACTTCATTATTTAGTACTCATCAACTTCGCACTTCAAAAAAAATTTTTAAAGGGTAAATTACCTAAACAAATGTTTCAATCCACATTCACTTCACACCTTGTGCCAGAAGATATATGAAGTAAAAGAATCTCCCTCCAATCACCTCTATCTGATTGTTTCTTCTTTTACACCCATAAACTACTTTCAGGCAGTTCTTATTGCTTTTAGGTCTATTTCCCAAAGCCACAAGCCAGATGTTTGCAAGAAAACTGAATTATAAGAGAATCTTCAAGGGATTTTCTTGAGGTTTCTTCTCCCCTTTTAAGCCTTCCCTTACAAGTCAGGCTGAAATACTTGTCACTACATAACGAATGATTTACACAGACTCACTTTCTAACTCTAATTTCACGGTTCAGTACTGAGAATCAGAGTCTTAATTGTTCACCACTTTTTTTCTTTAATAAAAAACCATTTTCTATCTTATTTTGGGCATACCTTTAAATGGCCTGTAGATTCTACTGTTGAAAAAAGTAATGAAAGTAGCATTTATTATAGTAGTGATCCCAATGGAATCCTAAGAGAATTATCAAGTTATGAAGTTCCAATCACAGAAAAGAAAGATGAGCCAAAGAAAACGTGCTTTGTGAGACAGCTATCTTGAACCAACAGATAAAAACAATTCCTGACATGCAGGAAAAAGAATTTTCCACTAAGTGAGAGAAGTCCACAAGAATATGGTCACAGAAAGTCTGTGCAGAAGATTTGGAGAAACTGAGACACTTTGCTTGTTTGAATGGGTGTTTTTGGGTTTTGCAACATTCTGTCCTTTAAGAGGACAGAGGCTTACAACAATGGGAAAATAGCATGACAAAGACCAGAAATGCAGATTGGACAGGAGATTGAGACAGCAAAGATTCACAGACTGAAACTACTGATGGTTAAAGCTGCTTCTGTTTTCTTCTGATGAGAATCTGCACTTGAGCATGGCTGCTACAAATGAGAGTTTTAATGCTTGCAGCCTTTTAACTGCACTGCTCTGTCAAGTTCCCATCGTCAGGAATGGAACAGCTCCCACTACCTTACTACAAGTTGCTTCATCTTACTGACAACTTTGCTGTCACAAGGTTTAGAATTTAGGAAGATTTTGAAGAAATTCTCAAGACTGGCTTCACCTTTTAAGTTTTTATCATTTTAAAAGCAAACCAAATCACCTTAACAAGAGCATGTCATTAGATCAAATATAAAAACCTTTCTGAGATGTTTGGAAGAAATTTTGTCATAGTCTTACTCTGCTGAATGAATAAGTAAGTCAGCACTAACCATCCACAAATTCAGACCATACATCTACAGACAATAGCTGCATTTATTTTGTTATGTTTACTTTGCAAACAAAGCAGGATTACATCAAACAGACCAGAAAACCACAGAAGTTTCTCACTACAATTTCAACATTATCACTTCTACTTTAACTATTTCCGTACCTTCAAAGCAACTTAGAAGATTTCTAGAACAGAAGGCTTCTTTGAAATTACATGGCTAAAAACTTCAGATATGTGACATTTATCTTGTAAATCCATATATGTGAGCATAAGAAAGCTACAAGGTTGTAGTTTCACCAGGCATAATAGTTTTGATCACCCTTCTATAAGCTGATTATAGCTATAACCTTCTACAACACAGAACTGTGTGAAAAAATAGCCAATTTCATTATTACAAAAGTAATTTCTATAATCTGATATAAATCAATCCCAAGTCACTCAATTTCAACACTGAATGAGAACAACAAAAAATGACAAAAGAATAAACAGAACTACCTTGAAACCATATAACTATTAAAAAATTCAAATTCACATTCCATGAGTAACCAAAAAACCACCTATGACTACAGACAGAGCTTGGAAAATATATACTAAATCAACAATTTTTAAAACTCATAGCATTAATTTCAGTATAGAAAGAATTTTGTGATGACATATAAATAGTGGCCAGTGCAAATAACACTGCCTTTCATAACATGGGATCAACATCTTTCTGTCCATCACTATTAAGAACACAGATCTCTCTTACTCAGTTTACAGCCTCAGAGAAACTCTGGCAGGCACCACTGAACAGAGCAACTGAAGGACATGCAACACAAGACTTCAAAAAGCAACCACCCTATTACATACTTTTATTAGTACCTTTGTTTACACTTCCTCAATAAAACCAGTTTTACTTCATTACTGTTATTTCATAACAGGGGGAAAAAAGTGTCTTCTGTTGATAAATACTGAGTTTTTATTCACTAATAGCACATATATAAAATCACTGCTCTACATCAAGCCCAGACAAAAGCAAACTACAAACAATGGTCTGTATGCTTCTGGTTTTTAACAAGGTGACAAACCCTAGGTGAGAAACAGTTTTAGTTTCCTCAGACATAAGCAACTGTGTTTTAGGAGCAGCTCCTTACCTGCTCATAATTAAGACGCTGAATTTCAGATATCTCTTTAGGTTTTGCATCAAGAATGTAGTCTCCTAAAAGAAAGCAAATATGAAATTAAATTTATTCCACAATCAAAGCTTCAACATTTCTATGAATGTTTCTGACTGAAGCTGACTGATAATGAATACCACAACTGAAGTTTTCTACCAAATTAATGAGATCACATTGTTTTATAACCTGAATTATAATTATGGAGTAAAATATTAATAGAAAAACTTAGTAAGATCATATTAAGAAATAAAATTCAAATGGCCAACACTGTTACTAAAGCAACATTTCATAATCTCTTGGGGTATCATACTAACCTCTTCACTATTCAAAAGCTAACCTCCCTCTGTGCCTCAGCTTAAAAATATAAAAAGGTCAAACTGTTCACAGTAAGGTATGTAATTCTGTACACAATTAAAAAAGACAACCACTTATCCTGACTGGTACTGTGAATGTTTTGCCATGTTTTATACACCAGTAAGTCTACAAAATTTGTTGTGCTGGTTTTGACTGGAATATAGTTAACTTCCTTCCCAGTGGCTGGTGTGGGGCTGTGCTTTGGGCTTGTGCTGAACACAGGGCTGATAACACAGAGATGTTTTTGTTACTGCTCAGCAGGGCTCACTCGAGCCAAGGCCCTTCCTGCTTTTCACAGGGCCACAGGAGCTGTGAGGAGACACAGCCAGGACAGGTGACCCCACTGAGCACAGGGAGCTCCAGAGCAGGGGACATCAGGCCCAGGATGTAAAGTGGGGGTAGGAGGAAGGGGGAACACTTGGAGTGATGGATGGTGTTTTTCTTCCCAAGTCACCACGTGTGACAGGGTGCTGCATCCTGGGGATGGCTGAGCACTTGCCTGCCCGTGGGAAGCAGTGAATTAATTCCCTGTTTTGCTCTGCTTTCCCTATACTGAGTCTTTAACTCAACCCATAGGTTTTCTGGCTTTTACCCCCCCCATTCTCTACCTGATCTCACTGGTAGGGGAGTGAGCAAGGGGCTGCCTGGGCTTAAACCACAACACTGGTATTCCAAATTTGTCTACAACACAAAGGTAATAAATTAGTTAATAGTTAATCATCACACTGAAGGTGAAGATTTATAACATCTTTAGAGACTAGTATCCACTTTCCAGATTTTATTTCACTGTTTTTGCACTTATTCCCTTGCTCCATTACTAAACTCAGAAAAATATCATTATAAGTTTCCTAATTTATACTCTTGAAAGTCGTTGAAGGCTGTCTTGTTGGTTTTGGCTTTTTTTTCAACTGTAGAAGAACGGCTAATCCTGTTGAGTGAATAGGAACCTAAATAATTTGAACACAGTTTTATTACTCAATTTAGTAAAATAATTCCAGAAGCTAATATATTTCCAGAAGCCTTCAAGAAAGAATACACATCTAGACAACTGGGATTGATTATGTAGTGACTTCAGACAGTATTGTGATCTCAATGCAATTATAAGAAATGCTTAGACACAGGGAGCAAGACTTCTTAGTTTTTGGAGAAAATTATGTAGGTAACTTTTTTCTTCAACCAGAAGACTCAGCAATTTACTTCTGAAAACAACAAGCTATGTTCTTTACAAGCAAAAGGAAAGAAAATATCGTAAGGATTTTTTTCTCCTGCTTAAGAAAAAAAATCAAACCTAGTCTATTAAGTTCAAACATTTTATGTTTGTCAGGCTACAAGGGAAGGAAAAGTGGTACATACAGCTTAAGTACTATCAAACTGCACTATTAATGCCTCGATCATCAGGGCTATTAAAGTTCCAGCCCTGTCAAAGAGCTGCAGTTTTGCTGAATACTGAATATGATACCAGAGAAGTGCCTGCAAATGAAACCGCAATCTCTGTGAGGACCACATTAATTTTTGTGTTATTTTAACTGGGTCAGACTTCCAAGGATTAGAGTTACTATAGACAATTCAACTATAGAGTTGAATTACTACATTCTGTCAACTGTAATAAAACAACACTTTAAGAGACATGAATAATTTTAAATCTGTCAATGTGTTGGTGCACTAAGCCGTACCAGTGGCATCAACTAGACCAATCACTTTGGAAAGCAGTGCAGAAAACTTCTAAAAACAGTCAAGGAAAAGCATGAGTAACTGAATACTGTAAATAGTTTTCTGGAATCAAATAAAAAGCCGAATAAAATAGTAAATACATAAACCAGTTCTATGTTGCTACACACTACAAAGTACAACATACATGTGAAAGTGATTTATTGCAGTTACTAACCTAAGTATTCCATCAGCTGTTCAGCCGTTATGATTTCCATCATCGGTGGCAGTTTAATCTGTCAAAGCAAAAGTATATTCTCTTTAAAACACTGCAATCTAAAAAGCATAGCATTTCTAGACAGAAGACTTCTGATTACATTTCCCTCACCAGTTTATAAGGCCATTGGCATACTGGACCTCTACTAAATAGCAGCTACAAGAAGAGATTAAAAAGGCACTTTGGTTTTTGAGAAACCACATGCACACAGCAGTTTCTCCCAGGTGCAGACCTGCATGGTGCTCCCTTCTCCCACCAAAACATTTCTTCAGCACCCCCTCCACTTGACAGGAACCCACATCACCCGCTGCAGTGGAAACACTCAGAATTAACAGACTGGGAACTGTTAAGAAAACTTCCCCTCAAGTCTCTGACTCCCTTCATTAAAATTCTTAACCGAGTATTGAGTATTCAGAGTATTCGTTTTGAGTATTAGCTCAATAAGTTCCTGTGTACAAAGTCTCTACAGGACCCAGTGTCAGTAGCTGCTGGGGCAGGGAAGCCCAAGACTTGTGCAGGTACAAGGGAATGACCTCCTAGCATCTCATCCCATGTTCACATTCCAAGGTTTAACCATTTCGTTTAACCCCACACAGTGCAGACCAGACACACAGAACTCTGTGGTGAATATTCTATTCCCCTCTTCCCTGATCTATTCCCACCATCATCATGTGCTAAAACCAACCACCTTGGCAGAGCTAAAAGCTTCCTGCACTCTCATCTCTTCCAGCATCCTGGGCAAACACTTTGGTTGAACACTTCTATTTACTGCAGGAAGAAACGCAACAGGCAAAGCACAAACACATAGAAGGACATGCTTCTGGCAATTTGAAGAAATACCACAGGAGGACATAGACCTTAAACATAGTGCATTCAATTTTTCTCTGTATAAATGCAAATTTTATTTTTCTAGGGTTTGGGGTTGATTTTTAAGCTCTAAGCTCTCTTCAGTTTTTAATTTTCTCATCACAGCTCCTAAGGCAGAGGACAGCATCACCTCCACCAGCCCTGCTGCACATCTGCTAGAGCTCAGATGTGCCAGTACAATATGAAGGAAAATCAGCACCGCTCCCTCGACTGTTAACTGGGCTCCTGTGATGATTCTTTCAGGACTGAAGTTAGCTCTTTTTATTATTTATTTAAACTATTTGTATCAGCTCAGCCAGCATTGCTTGGGGGGTTCTGCTCTGCACCACATCTGGAACCTCTAGAAGCATGCTTGCATGACAAACACCAACTCTAAAGCACAATTACAAGCTTACCTCTATTTAAGCTCTATGTATAGAGCTTAAAATAGCACAACATATTATTCATATCACTGGTTAGCAAATGGAACTTTCCCTCACAACTGTAAAGCTAACCATTTATTTTTTTTACTGCAGAAAAAGCAAAGTGGTTTTACTCTTATTTTCAGGATCTCTCAAAGCTAGGTATTTTAGTAAACTACATCTCAAAATTAACTGCTTGATTAAATGCTAAGCAAAGTTAATTGGTTACTTCATGGAGTAATTTAGGGCTGGCATGTGTAGTGGGACCTTGATCACACCTTTGAAGTGGGCTAATGGGGTTCCAACACAGTTCCAAGTACTTCTGAACAGAGCTGACTTAAGGAGATACAGGGAACATGACATTTCCCAGCTGTTCAGAGCTTCACTGCAAGCACTTAAGCGACAGGAAATGCACAGCAAAGAGGAAATGGGAGAGAAAAATACCTTAAGAATTAAGGGAGAGCAAAACATCATACAGAACCACAGTCATTGTCCAGATAAATCAACAGGAGAAAACAATGTAAACAACAGTAGTAGAAGCTGCTGTTGTCTATAACAATCTGTTATTTTGAGGGACATATTTTCGCGATAGGTTTCAATGTTTAGTTGCTCGATTTTACATCAATTCCACATTTTAGGAAAAATGCATTTCCTCAACTCCCACCCATTTCCTGTACCCCTCTACTCCAGTTTCCTGGTCCTTTGCCCTGATGGCTCTTTCTAACTCTAGCTAGATTTTACTTCCTACACTCAGGAGCGGCCTTAGTCCTTCTCACACAACTACAGCATGACAAACAGTTGAGACATATTTTAATTAAAAGACAACAGTGGTAAACAAATTTTCATATGGAACAGATTGTGTAGTAAAACTTACACAGTTTCTATGAATTAGACTATAAACCCCAAAACTACATAATACCAATTTTCCACCGTATTCTTCCACACTACAGAAGGGCTTAAAAAAAAATAAGTTATATAGTCATGCACAGAGGATAACACTTCTGAAAATACTATGAATATCAAAAGGGTCCAAGAAAATTTCTAATGGCTTATATAATAAGTCTTATATAAGACTTATAGTCTCAAAACATGTTTATCTAAAACATGCAACTCCTCTGAACACAGTGTTCCAGAGGGGTATGGGTAGCTTCAAGCAGCTTTGACTAAAAACAATTAATATTCTCTGCAAATAAGTGCCCTTGGCCTGGCAGGAACAGCTTCACGAACCTGTGACACGACAGTGTGTGATGCCACTCCACGTCCTCAGCGTCTGCCCCTCAGCCAGGCAGCCTCCAGCCCCCGGGAGTGGGCTTGTTGCTGTGCCTGGCACGGCTCCAGCTGGCACCTGCGGGCTCAGCTCATCCCACAGGTGCTGGAGGAAGGGAGGCTGCCAAGCCCCGCTGAGCAATCTGTGCCAACTGCGGCCATACGGACGGGCAGAGCGCGACAGGGACAGCACGTCACGTGTGAGGGGCCAGTGCCAGCCCCCAGAGCTGGCACCACCACTGCAGCCTCTGAGCAGCAGAGTGGGGATCAGCAGGAGCTCACTGTGCTCAGCTCCTCTCAAAAGGGCCATCTCAATGAAAACCTAACATTAAGAATTTCTAAGTAGAATTTTTTACTCTACCTCTTGTCTGCACGTCAGTTTGGATACATCTAAGCAAGAAAATGGTTATGTAACATTTACTTACATAATCGTTATGATACCTAAATAGGTAATTCATACAGTTCTAAAAGTTTCCAAAATTTTAGTAGAACTACTTGTGTAGGGAACACAGCTCCTTCCATTTGTTGAGAGGAATATGACACAAAAAACTTTCAAAGACATTTTCAAATACACAACATCACTGTTCTCCTACGTAAGGACAAGATATTCCACATGCATGCACTTTTCAAGACAATATTAATATTATTTTTATTCTAATTGTATAATGTATATCCCTTTGCTTATTTTGTTTCACAATCTTCCCTGGACATTTCAGATTCCTGTGCAACCTGTTAAGGTTCACAGAGTTCTTCAGGTACAAAGCATCACATCCTACCTAAGAAGCACAGAGCAGAATCACATGGCACCCTCACTAAGCTTTTAGCATCTGATGATTGCCACATTCCCCCCGACCCAAATTACATTTAATGAAATGCCAGAAGTTATCAGAAAGTGTTGCCTGTACTACATCTACCAAAGATCACAAAAGGCACTTAGAAAAGCCAACTTTGCATTGCTAAGCTTAACCACATAGTGAGCAACAGGCCTGAGCTAAAACTGAGCAATCTCCACATTTAAATAAGCTGCAAAACAGTGTGCTACACAATTCTGCATCAGAGGACATAACTCATGCTTGTACATACATTTAAAAATGCTTGTTTCAGTCTCTACTTCTGCTTCATTTTCATCACACAAGTCTAAGTGGTTACGACACTGTTTTGCACAACAGCTGTGCTGCACAACAGCTACTTCTCCAAGTTGATATCATAGTGCTTTTGTTTTTCTTCTTAGAACATTTCTCTAACACTCCTGTAGCAGAGCTCCTTGGCTCTCCCTCCTATAGGCTAAACTGCAAGTTACACACAGGCAGACTGCAAAAACACTTCAAAAGAAAAGTAATTTCATCATTTTAATATTTAAAATACAGCTTCTGCAATCTGCCACCTCAAAGTTTTATGTATCCTTTGAAAATAGTGGATAAAAGAAAGGTAGCAGTTTTATCACAAGCTTAGTTCCAAAACCTGGTATTTTCAAAATGGAATTTGAACAGTCACAGTGGGTGCTACTATTTCAGAATTTTCAAAACCCCAACTGCCAAACCAGTACTGCCCTTAAGCTGGCTGAGACCAGATCTATCCACAGGATGACCAGAACTCTCAACCCCGTCAGGAAAGAGCTCTAAAAAAGAAAAATGATGGCTGATACAGGGAATAGAACACAAAGTGTAACTGTTTAACTTGTTATTCCCTGTTGTGATTCTATTTTTCCTCCTCATCTGCTTCTTATGCTCTTTTTTCCCCATTATATGTAGCTCCTTTTCAACTAATATGTACTATGGTATTCTCATTCTACTTTTGCCTATTTTGATCTCAGTCTGCCTTCTTGTTCCCAAATTATAATTACTAGTGTTCATGTTGGTTCAGGAGGAGTGAGAAGGTGGATGTCCATCCTCAGCCTCCACATGCAGCAAGCTGCTGTCAGTGATACACAGATGAGCTGCCACCCCAACCACTGTGAACGTGGTTCTTGACTATGAACTGGGGAAAAGAAAGGCCAATTTGTAGAGGCAGTAATTAGGAAAGTCAATTACAAGCAACTACAATATATAACCAAATAACAAGAAAACCCTCAAGCCTATAAATAATAACTTGTGATGACAGTTTCACCAGTTTAGCTGCTTGTCTGCAACTCATGTAAATTCTGCTGAGGTTTTACATAGACATAACTATAGAAAACTTCCTGTAATCTGAGCAATAAGAAACAGTAGGGCATTCCCAAGGGGTATTTTTGTTTTTGCCTATTTACAAAACTGGGTATTACCTTAATTCTCACTAATATAATATATTGATCCCAGCAGAATGTCAGTTAAAATTCTGGTTGGAGAGCAGCAGCAGAGGGAAAAGGAAAAACGTTAAGGAACAAAACCTCCAAAAACTTGAATTCAAACAACAGGACCAGTGCAGTCCCAACTACATCTTCCATTAAATCAAAGATTAAAGAGTGTAAATATAACTGTAACTAACAGTTTATTTTAAAATGCCCCCACCCCACAAATGGTAAGGAATGGCAAGTTTTTCAAGTCACCCCTAGATGCTAAAGAGGGAGCACAGAAAGCAAGTGTTCAATACTGAAGCCTGTGACAACATTCACACCTTCCTGACGATAGCAGAACCTACATAAGGCAATACCTAAAAGTCACACACAACTTCCCTCTGCTGCTTGTACTGATGCTAAAATACCAACATCACTGTACCCAGAGCTTTCCTCCTGATATCTGAGCTACTCTGCTCAGAAAAACGTGTAGAAATTTCAACTCAACCAAGAGTATTAATCTTCTGCATCTAAACAAATTTCTTCTCATACCATATTTCATTTTTCCTACGTCACGTGGCAGACTGCAAACAACCTCTTACTCTTCCAATACCAAATTTCTTCCCCTTGCTACTACAACATAAAAGCTATTCCTGTGAAGCTTTCCTATTTCAGGACTCTATTCTATCAGCTCTTCAGTCTTCCGGGGCCGAGTTGCCAGCATTTCCTGAGACGTGCCCCTCATCCTTGTTTTGCAATGCACACAACCTTACAGCTTTCCTCCAACAGACACTCCTTTCACAGAGACGTGTTAATAACTACATTTTAAGTAATTTACATTACTTAAAAGTTTGGGGGAAAAATTATTTTAAGACTATGGGAAGCCCACATCCACAATGGCTACAGAGCACAAGAACTTCCAGGTCTCAGAGCTGTACTTGATCACTACCTGATTTATTCATTAATTTAAATACAATCTGTACTGCTTAACTGTATGAATGTGTCCCTATTAGGCAGTTACTCGTACAAATACATATTTTGTACAATTCTGCATTTTGTACAATTCTGCATACACTTTATTATATGAAACTAACCTATTTTCCAAAAATATCACTTATGTGCTCTGTGCTATAAATAGTCATCTTTACTTATTAGAAACCTGTACACATCAGTAAGCTTTTATATATTATATATTGTTCAGGTTAGAAAACATCATCTAGATATTTTATTTCTGTTTTAAGACAACAATGAAGTAAGTCTACATATGACAGCAGCATCTAAGTAGTATAGATACTGGCAACATACTGCACGGCAGTATTTGTTTTCCAAGTTCTTCTGTATATGAGACATGTGCTTAACAGTAGAAGTAAGCCTGAAATATTTCTTGAAAGAATCACGGACTGGTTTGGGTTGAAAGAGACCTGAAAGATCATCAAGTTCCAGACCCTCTGCCATGGGTAGGGACACTTTTCACGTAGCGTCCACGTATCCGAGAGACCCAACAAACCTGGCCTTGGACACTGGTAGGGATGGGGCAGGCTCAGGCTCACTGAGCAACCCGTGCCAGCGCCTCATCAGCCTCACGGGGAAGAATTTTTTCCTCGTATCTAAACTTGCCCTCTGCTAGTTTAAAGCCATTCCCTTGTCCTATCACCACATGCCCGTGTCAGAAGTTCCTCTCCAGCGTTCCCGACAACGTCCTTGTCCCAAACGGCCCGAACTTCCCGCGGTGCCCTCCCGCCGCGGGGGCTCGGGAGCCCCGAGCGCCGCCGGCGCCACACGAGCGGCCCCGCCCGCCCGTGATGGCCAGCAGCGGGCAGGGGCCGTTCTCGTTCTGCGTGATGACGGGCGTGTTCTCCTCCTTCCAGCGGACCCACTTGATGTGATAGACCGACTGGCCCGGGAAGCGTTCCTTGGAAGCGGAGAGGAGCTGGGAGCCCGCCGCCGGCCTGTCCCCTTCGGGCTCCGGGGCCGGGCCCCCCGAGGAGGCCCCCGCCACCACCGCCTCGTCGGCGTCGCTGTTGAGCTCGGAGCTGCTCGGGCAGCAGGAGTGCAGGTTGGAGAAGGACTCCAGCGAGTCCAGGCTGCGGGACTCCTCCCCCGGCGGGCTGGGAGCGCCGCTGCTCCCGGAGCCGGCTCCCGCGGGAGCGCTCTCCGAGGCGGGCGCCGCTCCGGGACTCTCCGGCACCGCCAGCCCCGCGCCTTCCGCGGCCGCAGCACCCTCCGCGGCCCGGGATATCTTTAATCACATCTCCAAGTGTATTCACTACAAGTAGGGAGCGGCCGCGGGTCACGGCGGGCCCGGGCGGGGGGGCCGGGCCGGGCCGGGAGCAGGTGAGTCCGGCTCTCCCAGGGCGGCTCGGCGCTTTTCCCCGCGGTTTCTTAGACAGGCGTACTGTAAAAAACACGGCTGTGGCGAGTATAACAGGCAACTTGAACAATTTGGTTGTATAGGCTAATTGAAAGAGAGGAAGTTTAGGTTAGGTATTAGGAAAATGTTCTTTACTGTGCGGCTGGTGAGGCACTGGCACAGGTTGCGTAGAGGCTGCAGATGCCCCGTCCCTGGAAGCGTTCATTCCAGGCTGGATAAGGTCTTGAGCAGCCTGGTCTAGTGGGAGGCGTCCCTGTCCATGGCAGGGGGCTGGAACTAAATGCTCCGTAAGATCCTTCCAACACCTTAACATTCTGCGATTCTGTAAGAATGAATGTGGGCGTATTACTCAGGCTTTACCCCAATGAACCTCTCCTCTCCCTACAGAAATCTTCAGCTTTTAATCACAAATTTTAAGTAGTCTTGGGATCATAAGGATTTATCTTTTCATTTTATTCTCAGCAGCTCTCTAATTTGAAGTCTGTAAACACTTGCATCAGCTTCTTCTGCCTTACCTGAGGTACATTGGCTGTAATTTTACATTCTGTGTGCATTTCCATAACACCTTCTCTCACCTGTATCAGTGACAGATGGAAGTTGTTTTTTATTCTGACATGACAATAGGAATGGAAAAGCACAAATATAAAGGGCTGACAGTAATCTGAGAAACTTGGCACAAACTCTAACATAAATAATAAATCTTTGAGATGGCACAGTTGATAGAAGAATCAGCATGAGGACAAACAAGAGAGGAAACATTTTGTTCTGATGTCTCACATTTGTATTTCTGTGGGAGGATTTTCCTGTACCCTTGAATTGTGAAGAGAGAATCTCAGAATGACAAGTCCCTGTTCAGTGGGGACACGACAACAACTTCACAACATGCAGAGCATCGGGAGAAGTCGGTGACCTAAAATAAAACTCTGAAAGTAAGTAAATTACTTTGTGCAAGGAAAAAATGCGTGTCTGGTAAGGGGATGAAGGAAACCAGAGCAAAACCCCAGAAGTAAATCAGTTCTCTGCAAGGGGCGGCCGTGTGTGCGGTGCGGGACAGGGCACAGCTGTCCATGCGGTGTCTGTACGGTCTGTCCGTGCGGTCTGTCCGTGCGGTGAGCGCTCCGCAGCGCCGGCCCCGGGCGCGCCGGAAGCGGCGGGAGAAGCCCCGCCCCTCGTTCGGCCCCGCCCCGGGCGTGGCCATGGGGACCCGCCCCTTCCGCCGGCGTCTGTCGCGCGCGCGGGCGGAGGGAGCGGCGGCGCGCGGAGCGGAGGGCGGGGGGGCAGCGCTGCCGGCAGAGCCGTCGATCCCGGCCCATCCGCGGCCGTTCCGCGGGCGGGAGCAGTCCTCCGGAGCGGCGGGGGACAAAGCGGAGGGAGGCGCCCAGCTCGCCCCTCCCCATCCCGCCCGGCGCCGGTCTGGGGCGGATGTGCCGTGGGTAGGCGGCGGCGGCGGCGGGGCCTGCGCCCGGGTGAGATGGATCTGGCGGGGACGATAATCCTGCTGTGCTCCTGCGCGGCGGGCGCTGGAGGTGAGGAGCCGCCCGGCCTCGCGGGGCCCTGGTGTGGGGCCGTCTCCCTTCCGCTCTCCCTCTTTCTTCCCTCTCTCTCTCTCCCCCCCTCGGGGCCGGGGGCGGCGGGCCCCGCTCTCCGGGGCGCCCCGGCGCCAGGGCCGCGGCTGGGCCGCCGGCCGAGCTCCCCGTTGCGCCCGCCGCCCCAGCCCGCCCGGGCCTCTCCCCGCCGCCCGGGGCCGGCCTGGCGCCCCGGGACTTTCCCCGCCGAGGAGCGGGTCAGTCGTCCCCCGCTCCGCCTCGCCCTCGGGTCCTTCTCTCCGCGCTCGGCTGTGTTTGTTTTCCCCTCCCGGCTCCGCTTCCGTCCCTCAGGACTCCCCGGTGGCCGCTTCCCGGCTCATCCTGCTGTGCTCCTGCGCGGCGGGCGCTGGAGGTGAGGAGCCGCCCGGCCTCGCGGGGCCCTGGTGTGGGGCCGTCTCCCTTCCGCTCTCCCTCTTTCTTCCCTCTCTCTCTCCCCCCCTCGGGGCCGGGGGCGGCGGGCCCCGCTCTCCGGGGCGCCCCGGCGCCAGGGCCGCGGCTGGGCCGCCGGCCGAGCTCCCCGTTGCGCCCGCCGCCCCAGCCCGCCCGGGCCTCTCCCCGCCGCCCGGGGCCGGCCTGGCGCCCCGGGACTTTCCCCGCCGAGGAGCGGGTCAGTCGTCCCCCGCTCCGCCTCGCCCGCGGGTCCTTCTCTCCGCGCTCGGCTGTGTTTGTTTTCCCCTCCCGGCTCCGCTTCCGTCCCTCAGGACTCCCCGCTCGGTCCCGGTGGCCGCTTCCCGGCTCCCTGCCCTGCTCCCCGAAACCAGGAAGGACGGGCAGGCGGAAAGTTCAGCTTAAGGAAATAAAAGAGGAGCCCGGGTTCTTCCCCAAGTGTGACCGTGCCTGCCAGGAGGGTCTCGGCTCTCCCAGGCCGGCACAAACTCGCCTGTGTTTATGGGGACGTGTAACTGTATCGGCTCCGTTAGGAATTGTTTCTCGGCGTTAGGAACTGGGCAGGTTCTGCGCTGCGCCTGGTAACGCTTAATTGATCAAATCATGGCAGGCAAAATAGTTTCGACTTTGTACAGCGAAAGAGTTTCGGGAAGGGTGGACTTGGGAGGGTGTTTCTAGAGAGCTGTGGGTGGAACAGCTGATAAAGACTTGTTTCCTCTGTTTCATTTGGCAGCTCTCTGATTTATCTGGGCTCTGCCTTTGTGTGCATCAATATGTAGGTTTATTAACAAAGAAGCGAGCGCTAAATGCTGGTCTGCCACACATTGTCAAAAAGTAACATCAAACTATGGGAAACTTCGGTAGGTTGTACTTGTGGCTGAGCCGTGAGAAAAAAAAGCAGGGTGGTTTGCATGGTCAGATGCCATCCTGTTATTTATATGGTTAGGAGTGGGATGCACCAAAGAATTTAGGTTTTTCTTCGTAAATTCTTGTAAGGAACCGAGATATTTCAGACTTAATTGTTGGCATGCTTTCAAGGCGTCTTTGTTTTCTGAACTAAATGGTGCTGGCACAGAACTAACTCAAAATAATTAATTAACCAGTTGTGAGGGTTATTTTCACTGTTTAATTCCAGGCAAGCAGTTGTGCCCTAAAAATCGTAGTAAAAATGTGAGGTCTAGTCCTCTAGATGTATAAAAGAAAGTTCATGCATTGTATTTCAGAAATTCCTGTTAATTTTTTTTTTTTGAGAGAAAAATGGGCACCTTCAACATTTCTAGGCACCAGGAAGCACACCTCACTATCAGCTGGCAGAAGTGCATGTCTTTGGTGTGTAGCAGTGCAGGTAAATCTTTAAAGAAAGATTAATAATGCTGGATAGAAATATAGTGATAATGCCAATACACATCTCTAAAATATCCAGTAGGACATTTTTGGTAAAAGTCTGAATGTAATTATGAAAGATTTGCCATAGTTCTGTGTTAAATGAAAAATAGACTTTTAACTTTAAAGAAGGTCTGTTTTACCTGTGTTCACATTTTTAGAGTTTTTATATACTGCCAATATTTTTATTTATTGAAAAATAGAGTTCTTCATTTGTGTATTTTTCCTTCTAGGCCGGCATTAATATCTGTGTGGAAAGGGCAGGTTCATGATTCTTAAAGAAGTTACTGTGAGAGCAGTGCAAACTGGAAAGGACTGAAAAGAACCCAACAATTTACATTTCATTTATGTGCAGTGCATCTGGTCTCATTAATCTTACACAGATCTTGAAGCTCAGTTACATTTGTATGTAAAGTTCTCTGGTTTTAAGCCACACAGGTATTAAATAGTAATAATTTTGGAAATTTCATTGATCAGCACTGTAAGGATAATTAGGGTTTTGTATGTTTGGTCTAAGATTGGAGTATTTTTATGGGATACATGAGTTTGAACTCTTTCAGAATTAAACAAGGCCTTGTGTCTGTGTACTGTGCAGGCACTCCACATATTCTGTTGTAATACTCTTTAGATATAAAGGTATAGATTAACAGAACCAACTGTAATGTTAGCTCACAGCTAAGTATGAATCATAAAATCAACTTCTGAAAAGTGGTGCAGCATAATTTGTATGGTTTATTTGAGCAGGTTTAGTAAAATCTTTTAGTTTTCTTAAAAAATTATTTTCAGTTGTTGTTTATATTGTTCTTAAAATTATGTGAAGGAAATGCAATCAAAAGCAATCAGTAGTGCTGCTGCACTGTGAAATGTTCTTCAGAGTCTATCTTGGGCTGCTTCACAGCTTTTGGTAGGTTATGCCAGTGTGGTTAAAGCAGACATGTTATCAGAAGTGTGGCCCAATAGGCCCAGAAACATTCTTCATCATGTTCTGGTATTAGATCACTTGTAGTGTTTTCTTCTGCTTCCTTTGCTTGCACTGCATAAATGTCACCTTCATAAAACCAGTGGTCCAGCAGGTCAGTTTGAATACTGTTCAAATAGTATAAGAAGGAAAAGTCACACAATTTATTTTGTTTTCTTTCTGTTAGTAATTAGGGAAAGCTAAAATTTCATTTCTGGTATATGGTGTCTACTTGAGATAGGGTATATGTACCTTGACTTTTTAAGAATTCTTTTTTTGGAAGTGAATCTCAGCATTTTCCCAACACTCCTGGCTTAAGGCATCTCTTCACTCACTGGTGCTGTTATGAATTTTGATGTGTGTGAAGTGGTGCTTAAGTTGGGTAATATTATTGGCAGCTTTTTGCAGCATGCTTTGTTGCATGTGATGAAGATGCATGCAGGTATATTAATCAGTACTTAATTATCCATACATAATGATGTTCGTAGAGGAGTGGAAATAACTAATTTAACCTCTCCTTCTACCTAAGGGTCATTAAAAAAAAAAAAAGAGCAATAGCAAACACAAAGGAGAACTGTTGAGGTTTCTGACAGGCTTGGATTTAACAAGAGTGACCATGCCTTGGCTAGGCTGATGAAATGCTGAAAATCATTGCAAATCTGTGATAAATAGTTTCTTGTCACTGGTGCAACATGTGCTTTTTATGTTGCTAGGACTTCCAAGTTGTATCTTAGTGTCTTGTGCTGCTGGATATTGAACTGCTCCCAGTGAGCATAGGAGAAATTCTGCTTTTTTTCTGGACACATGGGGGAGTTGTGGGAAGGCATTTATGAGCTATCAGCATCTGAGTGATTTAGTTGTTTTCTTATTATAAATTGGGAAGAACAGTAGCCTTCATAAATATGGCAGCATTCAGCCTCCAGCATTTATTTGGAGTTTAAAATAAAAACATTATGGCTGAGACAGTGCCTAGTCAAGACAGCTGTCAGATGGTTGTTTCAGAAATGCCTATGGTAATTAAAAATAAATAAAATCAGGTGTTTAGGTTATTGCTTTGAAATACTGTTGCCCAAAAGCCTCAGACTGCAGTTTGTTTATACTTCTAAAAGATCCAAAGTTTTGGTTTTGCAGTATGGCAGAGCTGCTGTGCTGAGTTCCTGCTGTCTGGTGGTCCTGCCCTGGCCATGCACTCCCACCTCTCCTCCTGGCATGAGAAGTCAATCCAAAGAAAAAAAAAATTAATCAGTTCCTGCCAGATGTGTAACTAGAGTTGCTTTATTGAGCACACCCAGGCCTGATGGGGAAGAAGAACTGGGACTTTCACAGGGTGGAGGGGAAGAGGGTCAATAAAAGCAGCCATCTGCTTGCCCTGGTGTTGCCATACTGTCTGACCGTGCCCTAGATGGAGGCCTCAGTGAAGGGAAATGATCCTGACTTGACTTCTTGATTACATGTTTTTCTTTCACCAAAAACTCACTTGACCAGAAGAGAGAGAATATTTTTTTTTTCAGCAGAATCTAGTGCCAGTGCAAGGGAAGAATGGAAACAGAGTAGATGTAAAAGGGCAGCAGGGCCTGCCCTTCTGCTGGCAGTTTTGAAACAACAGCCTGAATAAATTCTTCGGAGGAGTCCAAGTCAGGAGGTATATGCTAGAATTTCTGCCTTGATAAATCTGAATACAGTGTACATTCTTTAATGTCCCACCTAAATGGAGCTTTTTTGTAAGATAGATAAACTCTGTGTTGAAAATAACTCGAAGCAAAAGTTGCTTTGATTATCTTAATTCAAATTATAGTAATAATTCTCTACAAGATGTTTATCGCATGCTGGCATTTTAAAATCTGCAAATTACTGATGATGCTTGCAGTAATAAGACTTGTCTGGTGAGTTAGCTTGGCTTCTGAACAATTTCTGATACTCTGTCAAGTTGTATTCTGTGCTTTTTTCCACCTCACTAACAAACTTGAGTTGTGCTTGAGCTATTTGCATTTGTCATGCAAGTCTTAATCTGAGTGGTTTAATGCAAACTTCATCTTTTAGAAGAGTGCATGCTTGATTTATCCTCTTATAGGAAGTTAAATGT